AGAAATGCCTTTTTTAATGTTTAATTAAAAGACAGCTTTCTTTTTTCAGCATTTATCCTTATATGTTGATTGACTGTTCCTCATGAGTTGTAATGAATCAGATTGTGCTGTAGGTGGGACGTGAGTACAGATACAGAGAGGCAGCTCCATCTAGTGTATCTTCAAAAAAAATGTGTTTTAGCAGGTGGGAAAAACAGGATACTGGTAGTTTAAAATATACTGATAATCAGATAATAGGCCGGGCAGATAAGTCAAAATCTAATTTATTTATAAAGCACATTAAAACAGGACAGGACTGAACGACAGTGTGCTGTGCTGTTAAAATAGTCAACCATGAAACCAAACAAAACACAATGACTGAAAGACAAATCTGAATGAAAGTTATTTAGATAATAAGAATAAAAGATACAACACAATAAGTGATGAAGTCTGGGTGTCAAGCTCTACTTGAATAAAAAGGGTCTTAAGCAGCATCTTAAAAGGTGTGAGTATTTTTCACATGGAAAACAGACTGTTCCAGAGTTTATGAGCAGCTACTATGAAGGCTGGATCACCTATTTTCTAGCCTGAATCTCTGAACATCCATGAACATCTGTTTGATTGACCTCAGGTCTCTAACTTGGGTACAAAAATTCAAGAGTTCTGATAATACAATGATTTCAACTGATTTAAAACCTCAAAAACAAACAACAAATATCTTTAAATCATCCTGAAATGGACAGGAATCCTGTGGTGAGATGCCAGAACTGTAGTTATATGATCATTTTCCAGCTGCAGATGGTGAGGAGACGACTGCTCGACACCAACATACAAACAATTCCCATAGATGAAGAAGAAAATGACCATCTAACTAAACTAACATCCAGTGTGTACAACAATTAAAGTGTCTTCAGCATAGAGTTAAATCTTAGTTAAAACATTCCTTAGAGATAAAGTCATTGTTATCTTTGAATATCAAAAAATGTCTTTATTAAGGCAAGAGCCCTCTTCTGGCCTCACTATGAGTAGATGCCCAGTTAATGTTATGAACAGGGTAAAAACATATAGTAAAGTTTGAAGCCTTGTGTACAAACATCTGACAACAATTTCAGTAATACACAAAAGTACAAAACAAGAATGCAAAGGTTAGAAAATTAGTTAGCTCCCTGCAGTAACAAAAAAGAGGATCCAAAAAAGCACCAACCTTCAAATTTGTCATATTAAGTCCTGATAGGCTGTATATTACGGTAATATCTAGTTAGTGTAACGATGGCTCTGTTCTACTGCTCTAATGTTTTCGATTCAGCTTTAGTTACTATTTCCACCTACGATGTCAAAATGTGTTCCTTGAACAAAGTGCATTATTACTCAAATTCAGTTTAATTGTTTAGAATCTATTCTGTATGCGTTGTTATTCATGTTATTTTCCTGTGTAGACTGTTAAGTGGGCGTCTTGCTAAACAACATGAGTGTTTGGATTATTTTCCCCTCCAGAATTTAACACAATTAGAACTGCAGCGTTATTACTGGTGGAATAAACACAATATGTTCAACAGACTGTCAGCATGGAAGCCCGCATGGAGGAAAACATGTTTTTTTTGTTCTTGTGCCATTTTTACATCGTTTTGCATTAGAAAAACAAAACAATGCTCAAACAACAAGTCAAAGAAATGACTGGATCCTCTCAAATGATCGAAAAAATAATCATACGGAATCATATAAGTGCTCCTACAACCTTGATTTATTAGTCACCATAAAGCTGTGCAGTACATATTAGGACAGAAGCCCTGCGTTCTGTGGTTTTTCCTTTTAGTTCAGCATTTAATTCAACCCAGACATTTGTGTGCTGACTCAACACATTTTGATCCCAGCAGCTTTTGCTGCTAATCTCATTTAATTTAATTTGACACGAAACTTCTCTACAAAAAATTTAAAATCCTCAAACTGAAATATCCACACTTCAGTGAGAAGCCCACTTGTGCATTCCTATTTAATACTGACGCTCACTTGACCACTGCTCTGTGCTCTGAGATAATTACAGTGCCCGGGTTGCTGATTAATTTACAGAAAAATTCAATTTCCTAGATGCGTTGTGCAGCTGCCGCTCTCATGACATTTCCCCTGTCACATAACTGTCAGTTTAAACCAGTCTGTGTATACGTTTGGCAGTTTAATTTGCATTTTACAAGGCTGCTTCATTGCTGAACCGGGACCTCCCCAACCTCCTGCGCTTCAATCACATATATGACCAGTATAGAATGAATTTCTACATAAATCCAGACATACTGTGGATGCAAAATGTCAGGTGTAGCTGAAGCCTGACATCATAACACTGAGCATTTTAAATGGAAAGTCTCTAATGTCATATCTGCAGATGTAGAAATGCTAGAGATGTTCAGTTCTTTGGCACTGACCAATTACAATGCCCTGGCTCTCCACTTATTGAATTTTCTTTTAGAGACAAAACTCTGTTCTATTTGCCTTTTTTGGAGGCGGTTTGATCTTTGTGTAATCTTTCAGTTGCAGTCCAGGAATACTGCCAGATATTTTCAGTTAGTCCCCAGAAACAACACTGCTAATGGCACCAGTGAGCGAGCACTTAACCTTTGTGCTCCCCAACAGAATTAATGGATCTTATTCACTGATGAAAAAAGCTGTTAAGTGTTTACATAAAGCATGAATTTGTTTTCTGTTTTTTTTTTAAAAAGCTGTAGATAATGACTGTAAATTGATGGCAGAATTAATGTTAGACTTCCTTTCACAATACTGAACAGAAAAAGCATTAGATGTTGTGTTATGTTGTTTTTCCATGCTGCTGTGTGTTTAAAGCAGGTAAAAAGATGCAAGTATAAATCCACTTGTCTCTCTTTTAATAAACTAACCTGCAATAAAACATATTCTCCAAATTTCACCTCACATCTCAAGTATGTGCAGCCACCTCAACTTTCTGTATATGAATGCAAACGATAGGAAAAGGAAAAAGATGTTGTGTTGTAGAACGGAGACGATGCCACTGATGAAGAGACAAGATGCAGAGTTGGAGGCAGTTATGCTCTGGAAGATTTGCATCGAGTAATGAGGATGGGCAAGAGTGAAAATGAGCATATCAGAGGGACAGCTCAGATTGGACAGTTCGAAGATAAAGTAAGAGAAGTAAGATTGATGATAGAGGGAGGAGAAATCTATTTATTTATTCCACTTGATAATTTTTTGGGGGGATGACACTATCCTTGATGCACTGGCAAAACTGTTGACAGAATATTCTTGCTAATAAAATAAAGAAAAACGAGAACCTAGGTATGTTGGTAAAAAAGATGCTAAGGATAAAGGCCAAAGAGGAGGTTTATGGAGGTTGCTGGTGTGATGGAGGATAACGGAGAGGACTGGAAGAGACAGATGCACTGTGATGACCCCTAATGTGAGCAGCTCAATAAAATGGATATAAGTGCAAACTTAAAGCTTGCAACCCCCTCTAGTGGACAAAGGTATGATATTACAACAAATCCCACATTGTTATCATCCCTTAAACATGTATGGAAAGTACTTTTCTTTAATAACAACCGATTCCTATAACTGGTTCCTAGTTAAAAACATGCTCTCATAATAAAGAACAGGCATTTTAACTGCATATGTGGCAGGGCTTATGAGAGGCAGTGTCAATGATATTTTTTGTGGATTTTCTCCACATCATATTTTGATTGGTTTGCAAATATCAGTAAATTTGGCACCTGGAGGAACCAGTATCATGCAATGTTGATATTGAGTTGAGCTGGAAGGAGGACCCAGGACTTTATACTAACCTTGTAAACACCTGTTTAATTATTACATTTTGTTTTTTTTATTTCAAGATTTATTTCATGGCTATATTTATGGACCCTGTGGGTAACTACACATGTCTAGTAATTGAAGACCACGCATCATACTGATGTCTTTTGAACATTTATTTCCACGGTCTCCTCAGCAGATACCGTGAAAATTACAAAATAAAAATAAAAAGACATACAACAAACGTTTCAAATATAAATTGATAAAATAGTTGTGTCTCAAACAATAAGTCTCTCAACCTCGTCTCAGTTGATAGACGGGCCCAATTATGTTAGTGTGCAACAGCACATACATCACAACATCCAAATAAATGCACCTCGACAAATATTATACACAAATATGAAACAAATAAGAGTAGTTATAAGTCATAAATTACCGTGTGCGCCTCTCGGACGGTGCAGAATGTGGTTATTTTGGGCTGTGTGGGTTTCCTCTGTAGCCTTATTGACCCATCATACCGCAGGTGCGCTCCTTAACGAACCTGTGGTCACGTGACCTGGTCCATTCATCATCAAAATAAAACACGGTAATAAAGACCAAACATTTATTACAAAATGGTATATTTTCGACATTACCTTTTTTAACATCTTATTTATTGCACTTCTAATCAACCTCAGTGACCGTATGTTTTCAAACATTATTGAAATTATGACATAAGATATAAAAAAAAATGTAATGGAAACCTCAATAAGACCTGTCTTCAGTACAATTACACACGTCCTTTAAAACAATAAAGCTCTATCTAATTATTACATTTATTCTTTATTTATTTACTGCCTTTTTTTATTTGAGGACATATGTATGGACGTAGATGGATGCATTCTCTGCATAGAAGCCTCCTGAAGGATAAAGGTCAGAGCTAAACTTGACACGACTTCGTCAACATGTTTGTTAGAGCTCAACTAAAGCGGAACGATGTGTTTGTTTTTTTTTCTTTTTAAAAAGAATCTAAAAAATGTTCTAGTATTACCTCCTAATAATTTAGACACCTCATTAGGGCGATTTAGAATAGTTTTCAGATCTGTAACATCCTAAATCTACAAGCTGAAGCGTGGGGATGATTCTCCGCTCTGCGCTTCAAGTTCCACAGCCGTGACGTGTCGCCTGTGCGCGCTGACGTCACTGACGTGCGTCTGTCTGAAGTAAACAGTCCAGCAGCAGCTGCAGCTTCAGTGTTAGCTACCATGATGTGCCAGCATATAACATTTCACTCCGAGGATCTTCCAGTCGTCGCTGCATAACGTATTACTGTTAGTAATCCCAGCAGCTATCAGATGAAGTTTTATGTTCTTTTTTAGGGTTTTACAAGGACGCATCAAATTGCTGCCATAAAGCTAATCTTAGTGTAGACGCTAGTTCAGCTAAGTAGCTCTCAGATGTTTCACACGAACCCTGCTGCAACCTTTTAAAAGCTAAAAGCTCGCCCTGCTCTGTGCTGAAATGATGCTTACCTTGGTGAGCCTTTGTGCCAAAGAGGTGGTGAGTGACCACAGCTCGTCGCCCGGATGGCTGAAGTGGGTTCCCAGGGAGCTGTACCGGCCGCTGCTGGAGGCCGCGTTTGCCAGCTGCAGACCGCTGGCGGTGGGTGAACTGGTGCAGCGGTGGCCTGAACGCACACTGCGCGTCGGAGGACGGAGGAAACGAGGCCAAACTGCGCCGAATCGACTCAGCATTCAGGCCCTTTTATTGGCAGTTGTCAGAGGATTGTCTGATCAGAGGTGAGGAGTAGTCTGGCTCATGATTTGTAGTATCAGTGTTGTTTCTGTGAGCAATCTTTAAAACTCCTGTTTCCTATCTAGGTGTTCACTGCAAATATTAGACCTCTGTGGACTCCAAGGAGATGAAGGAGGGATGGGAGACCCGATGGGAGGCTGGTCCCTAACTGTAGCCCTTTGCACTATGGTCGTTCAGGCCAGAGCTGGAGCTCAGCGGTCACAGAGGAAGGAAGGGGAGTGGGAGAGAAAACGGTTCTCAGCTCTTGAGAGAGACAGAGATGTAAAAAGAGAGAGGGGACAAAGGAAGGGGGAACAGGAGCTAAATGGTGATGAGACAAGCACCGATAGAGAGAAGACTGGATCTTCTGGGCCTGTGGGTGAAGAGGAGCTGATTAAAGGAGTCAGGAGGAGGATGGAGACGGAGAAGAAAAGAGAGACGACAGTAACAGGATCAGGAGGCGGAAAAATTGAGAGTGAAGAAAAAGATGCTGCTAGTGATGTTTTGGTGCATGTGAGAGCTGATCTTTTTGTCAATGCCCGCTCCTGGGAGCGTGTTCGCGCAGCTCTGAGCACGTCAGGACCTCTAAAGCTTCAGTGCAGATATCTACGGGTGGAAGAGATTTCGGTGTCCAGTATCAGGACCCTGCTAGACCTGCTGCCCCGCAGAGGTCTTCTGGGCATTGATGTTCGCTACAGCAGCCTCGGGGTGGCTGGCTTGGCTGAACTGCTTCCTCAGCTTTCCACCTTTCCTGCGCTGAACTCCCTTCGCCTGCACTACTGTAACTTGGACTTTCGTCGAGACCACCTTGGCCAGGAAGAGGCCCTTAGGGACCTTTCACAGGGCCTGGCACACTTGCAAGAGCTGCAACGGCTCAGCCTCACTGCACTGCGCCTGCCTGGTCAGCTACGTGTGCTGCTCAGGTATGACCTGTTTCCCAATTCTGTTTGTTCTAACTTTCTAATTTATGTGATGTTTTGTCCTTTTGATTAGAAAAGCAGTCAAATGAATACAACACTGGCTTTTATCAGCATTTCCTGACATTGTAACTTTAACGTTTAAAGAAGAAAATAATCAGCAGAATAACTGCAATGCTAACAGTGTTTTCTAATCTCCAGCTACTCAAACTGAAATTGCGGTTATGATCAGTTGTAGACCATCACTAATCTTAATCTAAAGATGGCTGGCTGCCAATGTAAAATTGTCAGCCAGCCATCTTTAAACTAAGAGCACAAACATGAAATCCTACAATGAGCATTTGAATTAAACAACAGTGTTTTGCTCCCCTCTTTTTTGTCACAGCTCGCTGCCTCAGCCTCTAGACATCCTGGAGCTGCCCTATTTGAGCCTGAGTCCAGCTGACCTCGCCTATCTGTCCTGCAGCCATCATGCCTCTACGCTGCAACAGCTGGACTTGAGTGAAAACCGTCTGGATGAAAACACTCTGCCGTCTATCCGCCGCCTCCTCTCCCAGGCTTCCGGCAACCTGCAGCACCTCTCTCTAAGTGGCTGTGGTCTGACTGATGGCCTGCTGGGGCTTCTGTTGCCCTCACTGGGGGGCTGCTGGGCTCTCAAGAGCTTGGCTTTGGCCCTGAACCCCCTCTCCATGACTGGCCTCATGGACCTGGTGAGGATGGCCGTGAGAATGCCCTCCCTGCGACAGCTACTCTACCCAAACCCACTGGAGGATTACCAGCCGGGCCTTCCTGATCTCCCCTCCAGCGCTCAGCTCTTAGACTGGCCTCTGGATGAAGCCACAGACATAAACACGACCAGCAGCCAACTCAACAGGGTGTTGATGGACAGCGGACGCTCTGATCTCTTCCTGACCTGTGACCTGCTCAATTACGATAAAGATTTGGTGGACTAGAGCAGAGGTCAGGGGAAGAACACTGGTGCTTTTTAGGTTAGTCACCGACATACCAGAGCAATGTACACAAGCCAGACAATCATACTGTCACCTGGAAAATGATGTGATATTTTTTTAAGTGCTTAAACATTTTGTGCCTTTTCTCTGTGACTATCTGTCTCATGAGAAGTATTTAATTAATTTAAGCTTTTTTCAGTTAAAAACAGGCAAATTAAAGTAGAAAGACCCCAGTCATTGCAACGCAGACCTCCACCAAGGCCCAATAATCTGCTTTAACTATTGTTTTCAGTCAAACCTGTCTGGATTAGATTTTGCATTGACAGGGGTCACTGGGCTATCAAATCAACAAGTTTGTTTTTCTTAAAAAAAATAATGTGATGCATCCAAATGTAACACATATAAAAATGTACAAGTTGGTCTGATGCTGTGCTACAGATAGACCTCTTGGTGGTTACACACAAATGAACTTTACAGAAGGAGGTGAGAACTTATCCTCTGATATACGGTGGAGACACTAACATGCCATTCAATCAGAAGATGCTGCAATACTTTAATTCACTTGCTGGCTGTTTAAATCATAAGTGTAGCATTTAAGTTACTGCTGGTATTCTACCAAAAAATGATTAATCCTTTATTAAACAGGTGAACACTTACCACTAAGTACTTTCTCCATACAATCCGTTTGTTTAAATACAATGTCTGATCTTTTTGCAACATGTACAAACTACATGCAAACAAAAAAACTACAAGTGTGAAAGTGTTTTTGTTACATACAAAATGAATGTTACTACAGTTTTTTTTAATTGTATCCCCTTTTTTAGTTTTATTACATAATGTACTACAATGTTTGTGCTGTTAATAATTCCCATATTTTTCACACTGTATTTCTTGAATGTTTGTTTTAAAATATCCACAGTTTATGCTTTCTGTATTTTTTCACCAGCATCAGTAAATAAGTGTACCGAATCAGCCTTCTGTGTGCCACAAAAATGCGTTTACGTGCTCAAAGTCACAGAATAAATCAGTTACAAACCAAAGTTTTGGGAGCTGTTTAGTTGTTGAAAATTGTTGGTTGCTTATGTGACACGTGTTCATCATCTGTAGTACTCTACCCAGGACTGCTGTTGGATGAAGTAGCGTCGAGTCAAGCTCTTCACCCAGTCTTCATCTGAGTAGGTTTGAAATGGGCACAGAGTGACTCGAGATAACGGGAAAGAGATGAAATTGGGGAAGTGCGTAAGGAAGGGACGGTTTCGCAGAGGAGGCAGAATTATACCTGAATAATCAGAAAAATGTTAGTATTTTGCAGGAGTAAGCCATCATATTTATTTAAACGTCTTACATTGAGAACCCACCTGGTGGCCTGCGTGTCCTGGCCATGCTGTATGTCTCTCCTAGACGAAGGATTGGTTGGGAACTACTACACAAACAGAAAACAAAACAGTAAAGAAATGTAGCAATCATTTCTATCTTAATCTACTACACGCTCATGACTTACACATACCAGTCATCCGAAGGCAAAAGCACTGTGTTTCTGCGACCAGCAGGTGCAACACATCTGGCCTTTGTGTACTCCTCTTTTTGTACAGAGCAGAAATAATTCATCACATCCACCATGCTGAAAGTTAAGGGTTTCCAACTTGCTGTACTCCTGAGGTACAGATACCTCTCATGTTCCTGGTAGCGTAGAAAAAAAAAAGAGAAATCAGTTGATCAAAGCGAGTGCCTGTCAATTAACAATAATGTGACAAGCTCTCATCTACTCCTATTTAGAGAAGCCAAAGTCAGAGTAAAGGACATCAGAAGCGGCGGAGAGCAGATTCACAGAAGGAGAGCATCTCAGTTTTCAAGCAGCTGTTCCCACCTTTTATCCCACTCTGAAATACTTCAGTGGATGGTGGTAGCGATACAGCAAATATCCTCCATTGTTGTCTAGATGTAAATGTAACACAGAGAGATCAAGATTCAAACGTCTCTCTTACTTTGTATTTGGAGATCCATAAGTCCAACCAGAAATCTGCCCTGTCATGGAGGCTTTTCCAGGTGTCCGACTGGTCCTGCAGCTCTGAGTCCCAGCTCTCCAACTCGGGCCACAGCCACTGCTCAGCCTCAACCACACCTAGTTCTCTCAGAATGTGCATTACTGTCTCCCTACAAACAAAACCACAGCATAACACAAACCTTTTGTCATTTCACAAAGTATGAAAACAAAATCTCAGCACAACGTTTTGAATATTGATGGACTCACCGGAGGCCCAGTTTTTTATAGGCTAGAAGAGTGAGAAGCTTCTTCACGAGATCACAACTGGCAGATTTTAGACGCACCAACAGCTTCAACATTTCAGCAAGGACAGTTTGTTCCACAGGTGACTGAAACACACACATAAAATTAATCACAACCTCATAACCAACTCCTCAAACTGCACAATCTAGCTCTTACAGTACCATGTGAGGTTGTGTGAATTTATGCAGCGAGTCAATGAGGCCTTGGTAAAGCTCGTCTATATTCTTTAAGAGCCCCTGGCTGTGCAGGGCCTGCATTGCCGCGAGGACCTTCATCTTTAATGGGATGCTGCAGGTTTGCAGATGGTTCAGCAGCTGCAAGGAGAAGTCCTCTGGAGACAGGGTGCTCTGGATGCTCTGAACACATGTATATGCATCTTAAGATGTAAACTCATGCCAACTTTATCACTTATGCATAACAGTGCATTGCAGATATCTTTGCATTATGCTACCTTTTTATCAGGGAACAAGCCACTAAACCATTCCATCTCTTCAAACTGTTTGAGAAATGTTGGCATTTCAGGGGAGGGTTCTCTCTGTGGAGGTGGCGTTGGGGTCCTGGGACGAGGACGAGGACGAGGTGGAGCAGGAGTTTGAGGTTTGGATTGTTCTATTGGAGGAATGATCTCTGGAGGCTACAGGAACAAGTCACACAGAAATAAAAGGTTCTGCTTGAATATCATGTGTCTTAAGATAATATGAAACTTTTAAAGGAAATTGTTTTGCCAGATACTGCTCAGAAAACAAAATGAAATGACATTAGGAAATGCACTGCCTAGTAGAAAAGTGAAAAATTAAATAAATAAATAAACAGACAATACTTTTATCACTTCATCCTTCTCCACAATGACGGGTTTCTTGGGGATGACTTCCTCAACAAGTCGTGGTTTGACTGTTATGACGGTTGCTGGAGCCTCTTTCTTCAACAGTTTTACACTTGGCTTCACGACAATCTAATTTATAGAAAATAGACAAACAAACAAATGCTTAAACATTTAAATATCAAAGCCTCTCTATTGAAACTAAAAATTCTACTTTACATTTTAATCTGCTCCTGTGAGCAACTACATTCATTTAAAACAAACATCTAGAGTGCAAATAAGCAAGGTTTGGCATCATGGCAGCAGTTTATACCTTCTTTTTCTCCACAGGTCTTTCAGGAATGTTCGGTTTATGTTGAGGGTGGACGTTCTCCTTTACCGTAGGAAGGTTACGAGGCCTGATGTCATTTGGTTCAGGACAAAATGAAAATTCATCTGGATCAAAAGCGTCTTCTAAGTTAACCTGTAAACAGAGCATTAGATCATTGATAAAAATAAATCTCTCTACATCATGAAAAAAGATAATTATATTTGCCATTTGTTAAACTGAAGCCAAACAAGTAAAATCTGTGGCTACAGGAGAGGAGAAATTACCTTAATTTTAAGTGGAAGGCCATATATTATTTTCATGTAGCGATCAAAGGCCTCTTTCTTGGTTTGCTCCGTACTGGGAGGCTTCCCTTTTTTGCATTTTACTGTGCCTTGCAGAAGCGCCGCCAGGTCCATGTTCAGGGTCACTAAGCTGTCCTGAAACAAGACAAGTGAAAAGGATATGGCCCAGTTGTCTGATAAAGCGTGTGCAACTGACATACAGTCTCTCAAATTCTACCTTTATACACACACCTTCTGTCCTGGCTCAGTCAGTAACTGATTGCTGGCGATTGCTTGTGATTTGCCTTCTTCATCTTTGGATGTGCTCGAAATCCTGTTTGCACCAATATTGCTCTTAGCTTATTAGGTCAATATTTTGCATTACTTCTAATATGCAATATGTATGAATCTTACTTTCTTTGGTTATATGTTTCTTCAGTCTCAGGGATAGGCAAGTCAGGAGGGGGCTCGACACAATAAGAGTGAGGAAGCTGTAAAAATTAAATGGAAATATAGAAGCATTAGGGTGTATGTTCTAAGCTTTGGAAATCACAACTCCAAAGCTGATTGTCTTACTGTTTGTCTGTAGTTCTGTGGAAGGACCTTTGTACAGTTCATCCTGTACAGGTCCCCTCTGATGCCAAGAAAGATTTCTCCTCCAAACCTGCCATATGCAAGACACTCGGGGACTGCATTCAGCTGGAGTGTCCTAGAGGAGTCACAGATACAAATAAACACTGTGAACTAAAGGCTGCTTTTTACATCTCTAGTGCAAAAGATCAGGGACAAGTCCTGAACTCTAACCTGATGAGGTGATTCTCCCTGTTCCAGATATGCAGTGTCTTATCTAGACTGCTGGAAACAAACATCTCCAGGTCAGGAAACGCACACAGTCCTGCAAAAAAATCAAACACATTCAAACACATGGCAACAACGACACAATCCCCAGCATGTAATTTATTAGCAATAGAAACTCCTTCTATGACCTGTGAAGCGGTCTAAATGTCCTTCTGTGGGCTGGTAATCTGGTTGGCTCTGGCTGAGTAGGTTGAAGTGCTTCAGGCTATAAGAGCCACTGTTGGGCTCTTGAAACGTCAGGGCCAGCTGAGGACCCAGTGCTGCCAGGTAGACTTGTGGCTGACCACAGTGCAGGCTCAGGTGTTTGGTGAGACACTCCCTGATGTAAGGGTTTATTCTCCACACCACCATCGTCAAGTCCTCGCCTTGACAAATCGGGACAAAGTCATCAAATTATCACTGACAGGCATACAAATGGAATAAAAGTTAGATATGGACATACCTGTGGAGAGGAGGTAGTTGTTCTCTGGATACACCTGCAGTGTGGTGACTCTTTGTCCATCGTGCGCTGGAGTCCTGTACAAGATCTTCCCATCTTTCATTTTCAGAACGCTTATACAGCCTCCACTTTGGCCGAGAACGATCAAAAACCTGTCTCAGACACAGAAATATAATCAGATTTGTGGAAATAGGGATCTTTTGGCACCACTGAATATTTACTCTGAATGAAGATGCGCACTTATTCTTGGCATCATCAAGCGCTGCCTTGTTCCTGTGACTGCAGAACCTCCTGTCTTGTAAACTCCTCCACTCCTCCAAGGCTCTCTCTGTTTCTGCCACATCACTGTAGAGTACCAGACAGCAAGCTGGGCCAGGGATCGGCAGACTCTGGGCATCACTTGCTGTCACATAGTCACTCTGCTGCCAGGGTCCCTGGCCTCTGCCTTTCCATTCTTGCATCAAAGTGATTGGATTAGTGAGTGTGTTGGCTTGGAGCACTGTACCTGCCTCAGTCAAGGCCAGCAGAATCTCCTTGTGCATGCAGTAGTCAGCACACAAAATCCTGTTCTTTGCCTTGAAAGAGGTCAACACTGCTCCTGTTTCTGCAGCCACAAGAGTGATATCGTCGTCGTCACTGACACAGAGGACTCGTGTAGGGTAAGGAGCAGGGAGGAGTGACACTAGGATTTGTCTCAGTGGGGCAACTTTATCCCTTCTGAGTTGACAGTGAAGGGTGTATAAGGTTCTGATGGTCCAGAAGTCCACCCCGGTGTGTGAGAATGAGAATAAGGTATCTCCTTTTCTGGTGCCTCCTATGTACAAAGGAGCATTTTTCTGCTCTGTGTGGACACAATCAACTGCATCACGCTCTTCCACATTCCAGCAACGGACTGTACAATCCGCTGAGGACGATATCAGCATGTGTAATTCAGAGCAGTAGAACAGGGAATTGACCACATCTGAGTATGAAGGAGCAAACAGAAAGCAGAAAAGTAATCAACACGGCGTTCAATCATAAAGACGCAGAAACAGAAATATAGAGTGAATTTACCGTTATGTCCTGAAAAAGTCATACGTAGCTTCCAGTCTGGACTCCACACTTTAATGAAAAGCTCTCGGTAAGCAATGATCAAACAGTCCAGTTGAGAGCAGTATACCATTGCAGTGATGTCGCTGTAAAACACAACCGGTTATTCTTTGTGTATACAGTTTAGGTGTGGCCACGAACTACATTTTACCTGAATCCACACACACCTTTTGCAGACAGGCTGCCTTTGCCCCAAAACCTTCCCGCCATCGAGATCGACCACTGTCACGACCTCTCCGCAGGCGACAAAGGCTCTGTGGGGCCTGTCGGATCGTGGCGGGACCAGTGCCATGTGGGTGAAGGAGCTGTGCTGCAGCCCTTCCTGTATCTTCACGTTACACCTCATGAGCCTCACCGACCACACGCACACGTTCCCCACGCCTGCAGTCACCACCTCTGAGGAGTGCTCTGCAGCCTGACACATTCTTATGTCTAAGGCATCGTGAGCAGTTTTCAGCGGCTGTAACTTGCCGTCCAGAAGTGTGAAGACTGGCCCGGGGCCCCATCCCACCAGAAAGTCACAGACCTTCGTAGCAGTCAAGCCCATGAAAGACAAGTGTGCTGAGAAATTCTGTTTGCAGCTGTCATTTTTGTAAAGGCAGACTGTGTTGTCTGAGTGGAGGCTAATGAATGCTGAAGAAACCTCAGAATACATCATGAAACGCACAGGGCTGCTGCAGGGGAAATGCTGCAGGCGACGGAGTCCGTGAATGAACAAGCGCTGCGCACTCTCGAAGAAAATTATCTAAAGAAACAGATAAAGAGAGGGCATATGAGGTGTGAAAAACGTCTGACAGTGCTCATAGCAGGTCAGCATCATGTTAGTCTACCTTGCCAAAAGGTTGCTTCGCATCCTGTTTGATCAAAATCTGTTTTTCAAGTGTTCCCTCATTTGATGTGTCAGTCCCTTGAGATAGCCGCCTCGGGGAGGAACTCCGTAAGAGGGCTGTAGTTGTTGTGGTCATCATCTTCACCCCCTTTTTTTGCACAGGATTCAAAATCTTAGAAATCTCCTGTTTTTGCTGTTGGCAGCCACTTGTGCATGACTAGAAAAAAGGAAAAAACAGCAATGCTTTAATGCCATTTTTATAAATGCTTTGAAAACTACATCTAAAAACAGAGCCACAACTTTGCAGGTTATCTTATTAGCTGTCAAACCATCTGCAATTAATACTTGTATTTAGAGTGAGCCTTTGAGACTACTAGAACTCCTTTAGGTATTTAACCCTGGTTCTTGTCAGATGGGAATCCTTGGCACACACTAATACAATGAATAATATAGGAAAAAGGGCACCTGCCAGTTTTAGAAAATCATCTTTTTCCCGTTCTGTTATTTCCTCTTATGAGCAATCGAAAATAAATACTTCAGAAAGTCTATATTGAAAATACAGACCCCAAATTCAAGGCAACTAAAGTAAATACACCTGTGATCGCTGAGACACAAGTTAGAAAACCTGTGATTACCGAAACAAAACTGAACACACCCATGATTTCCTTTTGGTCTACAGGAACACTGTTGTAAAATGACTCGTGAACACCAGAATGTTGCCGGTTTCTAACCTGTGAGCTGTGTCTAGCTGCATGTCAAAGAATTGCCAGAAGAAATGTAAAATCTAACTGTGAGACTTTACAAAGATGGAAAGGGTACAGGTGACCAACTAAAAATCTGTAAAACACACTTGTAGCAGAAATACGGAGGTATAGAATGAGTCACAATACGACAACCACAGTGGCATCCTCCTAAAATTGCACTACAGACAGGGTGATATTTCACAATCTAATCTCTGACGAACATGTGCGCAGGTCCTTCAGACTCGACACAGGCGTTATAGATGAAAAATCAGACTTTGTGACAGCTCTTGCAGTCAGAAGGACAGTGCATAATATGATCCTTGATAGACGGCGGCCAAGAAAAAACACCCTCGCTTGCTCTCTGGCACAAATATGCAAGATGAAACTGCTTAACACATTTTTTTTGGTCAGATGAGACCGAGACAAATTTGCTCAAATTGTGTCCAGCATGTTTGAGTGAACCTGGCCAGAACTACCCCAGTGAATGCACAGTCCTGACAGCAGAGCACAGAGGTGAGTGAGTGATGATGTGGGGCTGCTGAAGGTGTTGGGGAGATGACACTTACAGATGGCACTATGATTGCCTGTGGATATACTAAAATACTGGCTGACAAGATGACTCCCAGTCTGTAGAGGCCTCACAGAGGAGGAATATTTCCAGTGGGGAAAAGTGAAAACTTTCTTGTGGTCAAGTATGTTGCATACTTGAATCCAATAGAACCTGTTTGGGGCACAGAGCAGTTGTAAAAACAAAACAAAGATTAAAAAAACAAAAACAAAAGACTGACAGGTGCAGGATTTGAATTTGAGTTCCTACTGTGGGACTTTTATTTATTTATTTGTTAATATAGTAGGTCTGACCTGTTCGTTTTTAATTGAGTAGTATTGCAATTTCTGTAAAGTGACACAGTTTTAAAGGATGTAAATGATATGGTATGTTTGTAGTGTGCTTTAATTGTTGTGCTGTTTGGTAATACAGGCTAAGTTATTAGGCAAAACTATCAAAAAGTGGAAAAAAGTACAAAAAAACTAACCAAAGTCACTCACCTGTTAGCTACTTCTTCGCATGAATATCAGTTCTCATAGTTATTTCTAAGTGCTAGCGTTAGCGGTTATTTTGCTCCTTTGTAAGCTACAGATTTATAGGTGTCACTCTGAAGCGAGGTAAACCGAGTGTAACGGTGGGTTTACATTCCAGTGCCTGTTACTTACCTATCCTGGATACAGAAGTCGGCCTACAATCCATTTAATGTTGGGTAAAGTTAGTTAAAACCATTATTTAAGCTAGCATCAGTGCTAAAAGTTTGCGTTCTGCGTGAGGAGCCCAGGGTGTTGCTAGGCAACAGGTCGTTCAGCTTAACTTTAACCAGGCGGTCACATTAACATTAACAGTACCGGATAGGTTCTGGACTCTATTCAGATTAGAAAACTTTAAGGCCGACAAAAATAAATGGAGATTTTATTATTTCACCACCACAATTGTAATCTTTGCAAAAATCCAATTTCTGACAGAAATAAAAGAGTAAAAAAAATCAAATAAAATTTTATGAATCTGTATTTTTTTTTTTTTTAATGAAAAAGCTATTTCAAAAAAAGTGAGTTACCCCCCCAAAAAGTTCCTAAAATTAATTATTTTGAAACCTGTATTACTGTCCCAAATGTATGCAGCCTTTCAGTTTAGAAAAAGTTGGCATTTTGAATAACAACATAAAAAGACAATATAATAACATTTGTTCTTTATCAACATGTTCAAGACTTTATGTTTTGTGTCAGGCTATATTTTTCTTTATTGTGTTCTCACTCTTTCTAAAATCCTTGTTGTGTTCCTGGTTAAACACATCTTCCTTAAACTAGGACCAGACAGGTGATTTAACAGGTCAGCTCCCATGTGTGAAATTACCAAACCTTTAATAACACCAGCACAGACATCAGTTTATTGTATAAAAATGGAACTTGTTAACACCATAGAAATATTTTATATAGTCAAAAAGTAGAAATATTTACATCAGCAAACATGTACAAATATTTCTCATAATGTATTTATGATACTGAACACATTGACCCCTGTTGAGGATCTTTGGTATTTCGCTACATTCTGTTCATAGATTAGTTCATTTTCTAGCCATGGGTCATGAATTTAAGAAAAAAACAACAACTAATAAACAAAGTATTGAAAGTGACCGTGACAACAGATTCATAAATTGATCTTTTGTTCTTCTAGATTTTCAAAATCTTTTGGAGTAACTCAAATGTTAATCAGTCTAAGTGCACACATACAAGAAGTGATGTTTCAAAAGGCTTCAGTCATCATACTCTCCAACTTCTCCTCTTCTGCAGAGCTGGACACAGTCAAATTCCTTGTGAAGTACTGCATTTCTATTTTTCCTGACTCATGTGCCAGCACTATTCCTGAATATGTGTTTTGTTGTCCTGAGTCTCCAAACAGTACCATAGCTGTCACCCTAAAACAGAAACCACACACATGATTAACAACACACAATATCACAAAAATACAATTATTACATTCATCGTTGATGTCTGGCTCCTGTTACCTATCTGCATTCATTCTCTCAGTGACGACAGGCCGTGTGTCATTTTTCAACAAGTCCCATATGTGGAGGTTAGAGGCAGCATCGAGCGCACAGAAGACTGTCGGCCTGGTCTGGGCCCACTGCAGTGAGACCACCGGCTCACCAGCTGTACCATCTGTCCACTCTGCCAACGGCTGCTCATGGCTGACAGCATGCAGCCTGATGCTGCCATCCCCACAGCCCACCTGGAATCAGGACAGAGGAAAAGAAGGCAAAGCAAATACATGTTTAAAGCTACAGTATTAATGATAGTAGTAAAATAGATAGACAGTAAAATAGGAGGAGTTTTCATGATTGTGTGCATTGACTTCTGCAGTTATTGTCAAATTGTGAGTGCATATTTCAGTGAAGGCAACAAAAAGGTGTTTTTCTGATGAGTAGATCTACAGCACTCATGCATCTTGCTTAGTGAGTTATTGTTTTCTTCCTGCAAGAATTGATAAAAAAAGATATAATAGGCGGCTGATTTCAACTGATTTCTGTTTCTGGTCATTATGCTAAGCGGCTGGTCCCAGCTTCATATTTAACAGACAAACACGAGAGTGATAACGATCTTCACATCTATATCTCGCACATGCTTATTTCTTTTCCCAAAGCAGCACTCTCACCAAGAACAAATGTTGTCTGAAGGGAGAAAAGTGCATTGATGTGACGTCAACAGGTCGAAGTCCAGCCTCCTGACACCTGTAAAACTTCGGAGGAGCCTTCAAACCGTGACTCGTTCCATGGTTGACCAGACCCTGGACGGAAAAGACAAAAGTATACAATCACAAAATTACACAGAAGCGCAATTTTCTAATTCTTTTACGACATTTATTTGAAATTTCCCAAATTACACTCACCATGTTGGTGCCAATAAAGAAATGACTGGAGTCTGTTGGAAGGAACTTTAAAAGCAGTGACTGTAACGGCCCCGTCTTCATTGTATCTCGTAGTGATGGCCTGAAAGGTGGACAAAGCAGGGAAAAAAAAAATAAAAATCAGAGGTCAGAGGTTGTGACATTCCCATCCCAAAACAAACCGTGTCACAGTGGAATATGACACATTCACACCGCACGTATACGACCGCAGATATGCTGCCATCAGATGTTGAGGTGACAAGAACAACAGCGTGTAGCGTGTAACAAACAGATCATATGACCACAACAGAGCAGCTGTGTTCCACTGGGCAAAGGCATTGTGGGGTATTTTGAGCTCGGTGGCTGGCAGTGATGGATGGTCATCACAAGCTATTTATCAATCTCACCTCTCAGCAGTGAGGAGGGACGAGCTGTGAAGCAACTTTACTTTGCCGCCGGGCCGGAGCCCTGCAAGAGAGAAAAATGAGGGAGGCTGAATGTAGTAGTAGAAGTGTGAGAAAGACGAGTACGTTCACGGAAAAAAAAAAAGGAGTGCTCTGAAATGTGATCGTGTTACCTAGATCTGTTGGACAGCCTGCCTCGTTGCCTTTGGGGAGTTCCACCACCACCTAGAGGAAATCATGCAAATCCATTAATATGTCTAAAGTGGATAGAGAAGAGTGTCAAAAATACTGGTTAAGAACTGATATGACTGTGTTATTATTATCCTTCATTTTACTGTTATTAGGGAACTATCATGCTGAAAAATTTGGAATTACAGTTCCCTGAATTTTAAGGCTGTAATTTGGAGAATCCAACCTGGCGAGCTGCTTATTAGCCTGTATGTGTTTACTTGTTGGCTCTATAGTATCATTAATAGTTTATGTTTGAGTATCTTTTGCCCCTCATATATCTTCTACAACACACCCTCTTTTCAAACACAGTTCGAAATCTCTGCTGTAGAGGAAAAACATGTAAGATATACTTTGTTGTCCAACCTACCCAGAAATTTAAAACCCCGCTTTCATCCAGAGAAGCCAGCTGGAACGACAATCCTGATGACTCTGGATTGTGAAAAAGAATCACATTTAATAAACATAAACTCAACTGTGAATGGCTAAAAACATATAGCACATTATAAACAAGGGGCTCAATCAGTGTGCTAACCATTCCATACCTTCCTCAGATGCCAAAAGTGGGACCTCTGGCCTCAGCGCTCCGGCTACAGAGGAGGGGACAACTTCCACAGACGTGACAGATGAGAAATGGCCCGAGCCGGCCATCACCGCATCTGTGTTGACAAGGCGACAACAGAGAAAACATGAACACACACTGAATCAGCATTACTCTTATGTAAGAAAGCCGCCTTTGAACTAGAGGTATAGAAAGGCGCTGGTTCACTGTGTACGAGTCAGGATGTTTACTACTTAGTGCTTGCTGACATTTCTTTTCTTGGCATTAAAGTGCAAAGAGTGAAACATGTAACACTGTGTGAACATCAAGGGGCTTTATGCTTTCAAAATAAAAATAGGCAAACATGGCTCAGTGATCACACGCCTCGGTTCCAGGAACTGGTCGTGCCAATGACATTATATATTTTCAGGGGGGGGAAAAAGGGACAAAACAGAAAAGAAGGTAGAAATAAAATACTGTTAATAACAAAGGACAATGTGTTTATAATTTAGCAGGAGTACCAGTGGAGAAAGTGGGCTGCCTGAAGGTCCACTCATCCTCTCCTATCTTTAAGCGGTAATGGTTGCTGCTGTGCTCCCTCAGGTCCCACAGCGCCACAGAGCCGACTGATGTGCCTGCGAACACCAGTATGGCCTTTCCAGGGCTGAAACAGCAACACTGCACCTGGAACAAAGTACATTACAAAAAAGATCAGTGCTGCAGATGTTAAACTTTGGTTTCATTGAGATTTGATGTGAGGCCAAGTCCACAAATGGACAGATTCACACTCTTCAGTTGAGCAGAAGCTAATATCTGGTGTGTATTTTCAGAAGTCTTTCCAGCACACCGTGGATAAGTTGGTTGGGCAGCCGACTGGAGACATAAAGAGGAATTCTTTTCCTATAAAGAGTGTGGTTTAGGGATACATCCAGTTGATTGCTCTAACTGAGGTTAAATTAGCCTTAAAAGAAATGTGGATTTTGTCTCCCATCAGTTACACGAAGATCGCTATAAGAAGAAATATCCTCATAGTATGTGCAGAAAAAACAATTACAACAAGCAATAACAAACCTGCCCAATGTACAAACATGTGAACCTATCCTTTAAAACGGTCTCTTTTAAATATATAAACTCTACTACATCAATAAGCCACAACATTAAAACTGGCCTAATTATATGTAGGTCCCCCTCAGGCTGCGACCCATGGGACAATGCTTCATCTGCAGCAATGTTTAGGTGGGTGGTCTCAAACAAACAACGTCTCAAAGTAACATCCACACAACTGCCCGGTTTCCCAGAAGATCATTGTATCGTAACAAGATAATCAATGTCACTCACTTCAATTGTTTGCGGTTTTATTATTCAAACAGGTACTTGCTGGGAGAACTGCAAGAATTACAGCGAACAGCACTATGTAGATAAGGTGATGTTATTTACAGATGCCTCAGAAGACACTAAGACTGGACGTAGAGGCGCCACAGTTTACACCCCACAGTGTCTGATAGCTATTAAGGAAAGAACCTCAGGCCATCTATCAGTATTTGCAGCTAAGCTTGTAGCTATTTTTAAAGCTCTACAATTCCTAAAAGACAAGAATGCACAAATTGCTGATAGTTGGGCAATACACATAACTTTTAAATCTAGTAAATCATGCAAAAAAAAACTTTATTTTTGTAATTAGCTATTTATTATACCGACTGTGCAATAAGCTTCTAACAACAGGCTTCATTTGGATTCCAGCCACTCCAACACAGGGGCTATAAAGAAGAAAGGAAGGAACTGACACCAGTATTAAAGAAAGCTAAGTTAAGTATCACTTTAGGGACTCTACTTAGAGTGACGGCATGGGGAATATAAAGTCACCAAGTTAAGTACCTGAAGGAAACAGGATTAATTGAGAGCATTTAGGTTTAGTTTTTTTTGTCTGCCAATCTACTGTTCCACCCTCCAGTCAGTAGGTGGTTGTAATACAACTTTAATCTGGTTTGCCAACCCCAAATCGAATCAAAAGAAGAAGAAGAATTATGGTGATTGATTGGTGTATGTTTGATTGTAGCTGCTGTTTTTGAAGGGCAAGCAAAGCAATAAGGCTTGTATTGCATTTATCATATCTAGCTGTGATATTGATAAAAACAGAGCCAGAAAAAGTCACCTCTGATTCATAGACGAGGACTTTCTGAGGTCTGGACGGCTCCCAGATGTTCCAGATGCAGATGATGGTGCAGCTGTCAAGGCGCACAGCGCTGGGCTTAGTGGTGGGCATGTGGACTGACATCATGGTGTGTCTTTGGACCTGAGAGAAGTGCAGCAGGCTGATTTGACGACCTGCAATTAACAATCAAAAAGTCAGCGGCCCATAGGAGAAGCTGAAATCAAGGTAAGAAGTATCAGCTAACATAAAAACAATGACAATACAGAATAATAACTACCAACAAACTGCTACAAACATAATACGGCCAAAATGAATTTCTCTGGTTGTGCTGTGTACCATAAAGAAAAGGCAACTGAGTGTTGAGCTGTAAACTTCCATCACTGAAAGACAACGTGTCTGTCTGAGACTTGAGCTTCCTCAGTGATTTTCTCTCAGCTTGATCCTCCTCCAACAAGACAACCATCACCTTGATGTGGCCACAAAAGACAACAGGAGTCAGGAGAAAAATAAAGTTCTTCATGAAAGAAGTCAAGACTTTAACATTTCTTAAAGTACGTGGAAAACATATGAAGCATTTAAAAACCTGCGAGGCTGAGCGTAGAAATGCTGTCAGACGCTGGGAATCGAAGTTCATCTCATTTATGTTTTTGTCTCTTGCTTCCTGAGAAAGGTTTGGATCTGCCAAGACATGAAAAACACAACTAATAAACTCAATGTACATACTAAAAATGAATCAGAGAATGAGTTTGATGTTGTCTTACCCCCACAGGCTCCACTGTGCTCTGGAGGATGCTGTGTCCACTTTTCACACATCTCTATTTCCTCTGTCTGGATGTCTCGGTCTGCGTTATCCTCATTACACTGAACGTAAGCCTGACAAGGAAGACGGTCTCACATATTACTTAGATACTGACAGTTGTTCTTTTTTTTTTTTAAAGATAATTTTGGCTCAGATATGTGCCTAAAACAGAGGAAAATAGAAAAGAATACTGACCTGTTTGGTGTTCACAGTTCCAAAGTTTCTGATGTACATGTCATATTCATTGACAGGTGGCAAATCAAAAACCGAGACTGTCATGGAGAAATCCAAGTCAATTAAACGAAGCAGCTCTGTGCTTCGCTTCCTGTAGTCACAAAAAATACACACTGAAGGAACAAAGTAATAGCGAATACTGTAAACTGTCAGATTGCTTGGCAAGTCTTATACACACACACACACACTGAAAATCACTTTTCCCAAAATCCCAAAATCAGAATGACCACGTGTGTCCAATCTGTCTGAAAACATGATTTCTCTAAAAATATTGACAAAATATATTGTTGCAATGCATTTTCTGTATCTTTACTATTGCAGATTTTAAATAAAATTAGGCTATTATTGATGTAACATCCATGTGAGAGGTGATTTATCACTAATTCACTTTAATAAAAATACTGCAATGCATGTTGGTATTTACACACTTCATCTTAGAGATCAGGAAAATACTTTTCTAGATGCCAGCGGCTGCAAAACAAAACTAAATAAACAAAGCTCCCCTCTGTCATGCTGAAAGCAGCCATTGGTAGCTACTTTTCATCAGTTTTCTGATTCCTATTATCCTTATTAATAGGAATTAAGATGAATACGAGTCAAATCAAGTTCTTTTCCAAATGTACCTTCTGTCATTTCTGACCAAACAAAATTGAAAAAAAAGTGAGCTCTCCCCTAAAGTCATTGTGTAAATTGCACCTTCAACATAGTATATGTTTTGCTGCTGGACTTACTTCTGTTTGGTGGCAACTTTCTTGCTGACTTCACGCTGCTTTGCAGCCACAAAGTCGATAAACTTTCCACGCTGAGACGCTCTACTCTGGTTCTTTTCAGAGTCTGCAAACAAAGCAGTGATGAAGCATTATAGCCACTAGAATTCTGCAAACATCCTGGAATTAACTGACTCGTGTCATCCAATAAGACGCAAAGAAGCAAATCTGGGCACGCTGTGGTGACGCCAAGTGCTTTAGTTATAACACATATTTTGTGTGGATAGGAACAGATTGTACCTTTGGACCATTTAGACCTGTCTTCCTCCTCTCTGCTCGTACTTTGAATGGACTGAACTGTTCCAACTCTTTCATTTTCTTCATCCATGGCTCTCTGAATTGCTTCAATCTCCTTCCTCCGTTGTGCTGAGAGCTCCTCCCTCTCTTCATCCACCTCTCGATGGAGCAGCTCCTTCTCGTCTTCACCTTCATTTGCGCTCTCATCCATTTCCTCAAAGTCCTCTTCATAATCCTTAGAATCGAGCAAATTTTAAACATCACCTTCATCACTTACAACATTTTTTTGACAAAAAACAAGAAAAATAATACATACACATAACACAAATTTTACATCTTATTGGAGTCAAACTTATAAAAACTGTGACTACTCACCACTTTCTTAGAACATAAATCGATTAGTGCATGCAAAAGTAAATAAGTGAAAAAAAAGATTACAAACATGTATGTTAACAAAACATTGGATGTAAAAAAAAAAAAAAAAAACATAATTAGACACCATATTATGTTGCCTAATTTGGATCATTACCTCAAAATCATCTTCATATTCTTGGTCAGCCAAATCTTCATCATTGGCAACCTGCTGTTATTAAAATAGATACAGTAGGAGAAACATGAAATAAGCTTGAGCAGCTCATGTGTAGATTCCTTGATGATGCATTTTAGGGAAGCTGAAGTTCAAAGCAGAAGGAAAAAGACTGTCCACAGCACTGTAAGCATGTTGCTCAAAGACTGACAGATTCTCCAACTTCTGCAATCAAAAATGACTTGATTTGTGGTAGTTAGCTCATGCTTTGCTTTAACCAGCTGCAGCTGAATGGAAAGATGCTTTACTTTGTTACAAGCACAGAATAGCCTATCAGAGGTGTTAAAGTCTACTGCGACTGCCGTGATATTATAGTCTTTATGTTCAGTCAGTTACAAAATGGAAAAAGAAAAATCACACCACCAAAGTAAAGAAAGAAGTCCTTAGAAATGTAGGTGTGGAATTTTTCCTTGAAGGCTATAAGCTGGCTAACCACACTGAGTGTCTTACAGGCTTCTCTGTGTCGCCTTCATCTTTCACATTAGCTGTCCACTGCTCAGAAGTCATTTCAACTTCCTAGATTGTGAAAGTGACATGTGGGAGAAGAAAGGCATAAAATCCATCAAAGAATATATAGCAATGGATCAGCATGATAGAGCATATGAAGGCAATTTATGGGTCTACTAACCTCCGTTTCTACCACATTCCTCTCAGGTCTGTCATTTTTGTCAGATGATGATTTCTTAGAGCTGGTTTTGTCTCTGTGATTTCTTACTAGCTCCTCTTCCTCTCGGTGCCTTCGCTCTCTGAGCTTTTTTTCGCCATCTTCTTCCTCCCTGTGTTTTCTTTCTCTGTGTTTTCTTTCTGCGTCGTCTTCCTCCCTGTGCCTTCTCTCTCTGTGTTTGTCCCCCTCTGTTCGCTCTCTGTCACCGCGATGATGCCTGACCTCTTCACCCGACCCTTTCAAGTCTAGGTGCTCCCTGGATTCGCTGTCATGTTTCCGTTTCTCCTCCTGAATAGCAGGAAAATCCACCCAAGAGGGACAATGTAATCAAGGACTCCAACACAGCTACAATAACCCATAAAGGAAACACTGCTGCATATGCTTACATGATTCCCTCTTTCTTTGTGTCTTCTTTCTCGGTCCTCTTTATATTTTTCTCTGTCTTCTGAAATAAAGAAGACAAAAATACTGACATTACATGGAAACCTTGATCCTGTACACATGCCAGTCTACGTGTGCACAAAGCTACATGTTTACCTCGTTCCTCTTTCCGTTCTGAATGCTTTCTGTCTCCATGTCTCTCTTGAATTTTTTTATCATTCCTCTTGTCTTCATAGTCATTATTGTGTCGCTCTCTCTCCCGGTGTCGATCTCTCTCCTCTCTGTGGTGCTTTTCTGACGGATCTTTTCGTCTTTCCCCACTTTCTTCATGCCTTCTTCTCTCCCTCTCGCTCCTGTGCTCTCTGTCCCTTTCCTCTCTTCTTCTTTCCTTGTCTCTGTCTTCCCTCCTTTTGTCCCTGCCCTCCTCATTGTGTCTCTCTCTCTCCCTTTCCCTTACCCTCTCTTTCTCCTTATCCCTATGTCTTTCCTTGTCCCTCTCCCTTTCGTACTTTTCCTCTCTATCTCGCCTCCTGTCCCTGTTTTCACTGTAAACATCACCATGCTTGTTTTCATCTATATATCTGTCCCTTTCTCTTCTCTTCTCTCTGTCCCTTTCCTTGTCACCTCTCCTGTCTTGCGAGGCCTCTTTTCTTCGCTCTGTATATCTGTCCTTTTTGTCTTCATCTCTTCTCTCTCTCGTACTCTCCCTTTCCCTGGGCTTCTCTCTTTCTCGTCTGGACTCCTTCTCTGGGTCTCTGTGACGTCTCTCTCTGGATTCCTCCCCACGGTGCTTTCGTTCATTGTCATCTCGCCTCCTGGCGTAGTGATCACCACTATCTTCTTCCTAATAAAAAGATAAAATAACAACATTTATACTGTTTTTATGTAATTTTGATGACTGATATGAATCCAGCTTCTTCTGCAGTGCTTTTCTAAACTCTTCTCAACTTACCCTGATGTGTCTTCTCAGGTCAGCAGGTCTCCATGTGTCTTCCTTGGTTATTTTCTAAACAAACATGTTGTTTTTAATGTTCACCCAGTGACCATATTAACGTTCAATCAAAGACAAAATAAGCATATTTTGTGCTAACAACTAAAGCCATACAAATCCGTAAAACAACGTCCTCTGCCTGAAACAACGTTTGCTAACGACCACAGCGAACACAGCATTTTCTACCGAATAAACATGTCCCAGCTGTGGCTCACACACGGTCAGGACGGAGAACAACCACCTACCTTGTCGCTGTGCATGTTCTCATCTGCGTTAGTGTGTTTTTAAAGTTTTTCAGTCGCTGAAAATTAGCTCATATTTTTGTACCGACGCCGCCATGATGGTAAACGTCTAGGACGCATGCGCAGTTTGTTGAAACCAAGGAGAGCGCGTCAGTTGGGCTTGACAACAGGATCATTAATCAAGAGAAGAGCAGTCGCTGGAATCAACAGCCAGTTGTCATGGCAGCACTCGAGACACGACGTATAAATCAGTATTCTTCACCAATTCAGGAAACGTATTGACAATAAAAACACTAAAATTATCCGCACTCCTACCTTTGTTACTTCTAGATGTGTTTTGGTTCGTTTCGGTATTTTTTGTAGATAAAAGTCGCTCGAGCGATTACCCTGTGCTCGTCTTTCTTAACGGCTAGCAAACAAACACTTGTAATGTTTGCTAACAAATTAGCTAGATAGCATCGTAATTTATTTTAGAGGTCAATTAGGCCAATAGTTTTGTTGTATATTTTAATAACAACTATTTCCAATGTATTCTAAGTCGAGCTAAAATTGATCAACTGTGGTTACCGCTTTGTAACACCAGGTGGAGGTGTTTAATCTTTTTAGCTCGTGCTACTGGCACCACAGTGAGCGCACACAAGTGGATCCCTGTGCGGTTTTTTGGAAGCGATCATTCCCTCCCCGTGTGTAGGCAGAGTGAGTGTAGCCGTGGACTGAACTGGCTCAGCGGACTAATTTAGTCAACGGGAATGCTTCCCCAAGCCGTTGTTCGCAGTGAAAACTAAAGTGGTCAATGCCAACGTTTCCTCCGAGGGCGATGGGCTGGTGTGCAGGTGAGCCAACGTGAGAACAGGCTCCCCCATAGGAAGCGCTCGCACATGGGAACTGTGTCACTCGACCTTATCCGCATTTGGACAGTTTGAAGACAGACTCAGAGACATGTCAAGAGACAGCATGACAGCTGTACGTGGAGCCCAGTCACACAACGCTTCACCTAAAGAGAATGGACACACCGCGCCGAGCCCCGCTCAGCCCAGCGCCAACTTTCCCCATCCCTCTGCGGGGAACATACCCGACGACACGCCGGTGTCCTCTACCAGCGAGCTGACCCAGACCTGGGTCCACTTCGCTAAAACATTTGTGCTCATTTTCCCGATTTACGCATTGGGGTATTTTGAGTTCAGTTTCAGCTGGCTGCTGATTGGACTTGTTATCTTTTTCTGGTGGAGGAGAAACACAGGAGGGAAACACAGCCGAGTGAGCCGAGCTCTGGCTTTCTTTGACCAGGAGGAACGAAGTGCCAAGCAGGCTCTGACGACCTCTGATCTACCACCATGGGTAAGACACACTGTGAAACACGGCAGAACAAATAATATCAGCCGTCTGTCTTAGCTAAGCTGTTTCTCCGAAGAGCTCGTGTGATATTTTTGTAAACAATATTTTTGAGTTTCCACGAAAATACAATCAGCTGACATGATCAGGAGGAGCAGAGTTGAGCTGTAAAGCTGTGATGGGGCAGCTGTCCCCCAGCAGTGACATTAGACTGAGCCCCAGTCTAAATACAGCAGGGTACAATGGTGAACCAGACACCACGCTGCGAAGGAAACATGCCCACAGGGTCCCTGTTATTTTAGGATCCAGACTGACTATCTCGCTTGTAGTGATTCGTTCTATTTCTGCTACACTTTATCTTGGCTAAACTGTGAGACAGCACAAGGGTCCTTGACTTTTCCTTGTCAGGGTTAATAATTTAGTGTGAGGGGTTTTTGATTTGCCTCGCTGTATAAATCATTAAGGTTGCCTTTAATCATGTCTTAAGTACAAATCAGGTAATAACACAGTAATAGACGGTGTTTTAAAGAGATTACCTGCAAGCATTGATGTATGGTGTTTTGGAACAGAGCTCCCCGTTTGTATCACATCTCCATATATTACATGACTCTTCTCAGGACTAATGCCTTTGAAAAAGGTTTGACAAAAAGGTTTGTGAGACCCCTTGTTGCCTATGCTGTTACCTGCTGGGGAAACAAAGTGAAAGTAAATAGCTTTACCAATGAATGCACTTTGTTTCCCTAATGAACGTTAAACTCAACTAAATCCACTTGACATAAATAAAATGCCTGCAGAAGACCGGGTTTATTAGTGCAATATGTATCTTCTGGAGCAATTATGGTGAAATTGAGAATTTATATCTATTAAAGCCTTTTTAGGAGCCCAGAGGGTCTCACAGGTCCACTTTGGTCCAGTTATGGAAACTATTTCAACTGCATTTAATTGAACATTAGCTAAGTATGAATTACGGTTCGAATGAGTTGCAAATTAAACCGAGCCTCAAGTCTCAGTTGCATAACTTATCAACCTTCCAAATTACGACTCTGTGTCAGGCTCACTGCAGGTTTGTGATGTTCAGTGCAACAGTTAAAAGCTTATTCTGCTGACACATGGCTGAGGATGCATTTAGGCTGTTAAATGGGGGTGGAGGAATTAGATGGGGAAGAGTGAGAGCTGCCCACTTAAAGGAAAGAGACATAATTGAGTGACCTCAGCACCGCCGGTCTTAAGTCTGCGGTTTATAAAAGAAAGAGGAAGTCAAGCGTTATACCCACAGCAGTGCATCATCATTTGAAATCACATCACATCTTTCAGGGCTTCACAGTGCGCCGTGATTGACAAGCTAAGCCCACATCAGTGTGTGTTCATACCGAGCTGTCATCAGCAGTGGGGATTTTCTCTACTTGCCGCTCTTATGTCTTGGCAGCTTCTCTCGTCTGTGCAGAAATAAACACTTTACAGTGGTAAATGAAGTGATCAGGTAGTTTGCTTAATATAAGCACAAATATAGCGATAAAAAATAGTAAATTACAAGAAAAACTCCTGTATATACCTACGTAGTAGCAAAGTAAGTACAATAAAAGTCCTGATTTGGTCCCTCAGGCTAATATATGATAACATTAGATTATTAAAAATGAAGTATCTGTGTGTTAGTAGCATGTTATTGTTGTAGCTGCTGCAGGTGAAGCGACCTAATGTGCAATTTTATATTTAGTTACACAAGTTAAATCTGAAGGTTGGTGAGTGTATTAGTGGGAGAGGACAGACGAGGTAAACTTCTGATGCTTGCATGTGTTTTCTGTTTTTGAACTTTGTCCCGAAGCTTTGATTTTTGGTGAGATTTCGGACCATTTAAACATGTATTGAAATGAAATCAGACTTCTGAAATGTGACCCCAACTACACACTGCTTTTTGTAAGATGTTAGAGGGAAAATAGTTTGGAAACCACCGGTGTACCCTGTAAGAATGTATATCTTGAATGCTTGCTATATCATTCACTGTCTTAAAACTGCTCAGTAACAAAAGCTGTCGAATAGATGTAGCGGAGTAGAAAGTACAACTAAGAGGGAAACTCTGAAATATGGTGGAATGGAAGTGTAAAGTAGCATGAAATGGGAATGCATATGTAAAGTACCTCAAAACTTACTCCCACTCCTGATCATAGGGGTACGAACATGAATGCAGATTGTGAATAAAAGACCAGCAGACGTTTAGGGAATGGAGGCTTTTTTTCTTCTTTAAAACATCACATTCTATAAAAAAAGAGTGATAAGGATTAGAAAGGTTATTATGGGGAAAAGTGGCCCTACTCATCATCAATCTTACAGTTTTATCATACATAAAATACAACATTGCAATGCACAATAAATTTGTATGCATCATACAATGAAGAGTACCAGCAGTTGCTATAATTGTGTTTTCCTCTGACTCACTGGACACAATTCATTTCTACAGAGATTTTTTTTTGTTTTTTAATGTCATAGCAGCAGTAAAAGAAAGAAGCTGCTTTCAAAACTCAGCCTGATATCAGTTCTGTGATAGGCGTGTAAGTCAGAGGGCTCAGATTGTCTGCATAATAGTCGTCCTTTAGATGCACTCATGTCAGCGTGACCTATGAGGAATATGTTTGAGAGGCAATGTGTGTCTGAAGTTCTGATATTTCAAATCAACTCAGCTGAATCATAAACTATTTCTGCTTTGTTTTATTTTAATATGTGATAGGCTTCATGATTTAAATGTGCCTCAGTGATATTATAGCGTCTTATTAACTAGAGGATGTATTTGCTTTCAGGTCCTGAGCACCTGTCTGGGTTAGTGAGCTGATGATGAGAAGGCTGACTTAAGGGAGAATAATCCTCTTTGATTCAAACCCCAGCAGACTGTTAATTACACTTTAAAGAGACAAAACCCTCTGGTTTTCAGTATTGTACCACAACAACAACAGCAAAGGCTGAAACTGGGTAACGAAGGTGCTTTGCCCTCATTTATGCTGTGTCCTATTGAGTGAACCATCAGTGCCTCACCTACATTTTATGAATAAGGTCACTGTGCCAGGTGTATTAATGAATCCTTTTTAGCGTCTTTTCCAAGCGATTACAGTATGTACCTATGTAGCCAAACTGTGAGTCTGGATCTGTCATATTAACGGGAACTTTCTGTTCCCTGTCGTCCTGCTCTTGTCGCTGCTTTAGTCACTCTGTGACATAAATGCTGGATAAGCACTTAGCTGGCTGCATGAAAAATAGTGCTGCCTCTTGTAGCTGCCTCATCGCATGTAATATCTCACCAGAGCTTCCGACAGTCGCATCACTTCATATTTCCGCTGAGATTACGGGAATAAACACCTTAAATCCAGTGATGGAGAGGCAGCGTTATAACTCCGCCGCTTATTAAGGTGGTGAGTGCATTGCTTCACAGCTTTGTGCACGCTATCGACTTCGTTTCAGGGAATTCCTTCACATCATGTTAAATCAATGCCTGATTTACTTTGGTCATTCAGGAGGATTAGTCAAACTGCAAGTGAGACTCAAAGCAGTGAGGAGGTTTTGAACTAGTGCAGGTTAGAAATACAAGTACGTGTGGCATTTTGATGCTCAGTAAAAGCAAAAAAAATCTTCATTGTGAGTCCAATAAAGCAGCGAATCCAATAGTATTGATCTAATTGGACATACATGACACCATTGCACTTTAACACATTGTAGATGTCAGTTATCTTGTCCACACAAAACGTCATGAAAAAAAGAAAGGTCACACAATCGATGTCGTTCTTCAGGTAGAAATGAGAAAGCAGGTAAAAATCCAATGCCCTTTGCTAGACGAGTGCTTCTGAAGTTCTTTTTCATCTTCTTTTTCCTTCATCTTCTTTTTTTTTTCCCATCAAGTGGTGACACCAAATCAAAAAAGCTGCTGCAGTGACTGTTCACATGCATCAGTACCCAATAGAAACCCACTCCTCTTGAAATTATTCTTGTTTGGATGTTGCAGTTTAATTGATGTGTTGCTGTGGAATGCCAGATTTGTTTTAGTATTTGGACTCGCCAGAAGAAATTTATCATCTTAAAGGTATTGCTTTTCCTTTGATGCAGAGTTACAGCGTAAAAGCTTTTTGTAAATGGAATTTCGCAACAGCGAACGTGATTAAGTTTACAAATTGGCACTACTCACTACATATAACAACTATTTGAAACAGCTTGTAGTGGAAGAAGAATGGAGTGTGCTGTACGCTTAGCTTTAATATGTAATGAATAACAAAGCTGTAAGAACCTAATCAGTTTGGATAATTAGGTGGGGAAGGTTTTAACCACTCGTGGCTCAACTAGTTGATGCATTGCATTTGGTGAAGACATGATGCCCCCTTTATTATGGATTGTAACATTTTAGTGATTTCCTAACCTTTCATCTATTACTACCATCGGATTAATTTTAATTTGTTGTTGTCCAAATTGCTTAATGTCCAAACCCTTAGCAGTACTTTGTGTTTAGTGCTAGTAAATGACTTTTAACATGCTTAATGAAGACGGTGAACAAGGTAAACCCTTCCTTTGTTACACATTAGCATGCTAGCATTGGCACTGCGAACATGTTATCGATTTGTCTGTCTGTCTGGGGACAGGAGGCGAAATTTGCCATTAAAATGTTATCAGGCTAATTGAAACCAACAGAGAGATTATCTGCTCTCTCTTCTCGTTTGTAGGTCCACTTCCCAGATGTAGAGCGAGTGGAGTGGCTAAACAAGGTAAGAAATCGAGCGTCTGTCTCTTAGATTTATTTGCTTGACTGACGCCTTCCTTTTTGTTTTGCAAAAACCGGAGCAAATGCGATGTCTGTCGCCCTCCTGCTCCCTCCCTTCTTCCCACTGGGACTGCACACTGCAGTACATTGGATTTAACATGCAGCCCGGTTTCTGCAGCAGTGTGAGATGCATTAACCCTTGTCAATCCCCATGGCAACAACCAGGATCTAAATTTTGAGTCACTCATGAGTATATATTAGATTGATCTAGGTGGGGAAATAAAAAAAATCATGTTTTGTTGTCCCTGCTTGATGTGTGTGAATCTGACAGGATTTTACTCCAAGAGAAGTGTATTTTCAATATTTAAAAGTAATGTGACAGATGTACCTGTATGAAATTGGCCTTAAGAGGATGCAGTTGATGTAATGACTTCATATGTCCCACAAAGTGTTACAGCACCTGCCAGTAAATGCCCTTTGGAGTAGTTTTATACTAGAAAAAGGCACATTTTTTTTATTTTATCCCACCAAAACTCTATGATTCTCTTTGAAGTTCAGCCCTCGTCCTGTATCCCTGTAGACGGTGAAACAGATGTGGCCGTACATCTGCCAATTCGTGGAGAAACTCTTCCACGAGATGATCGAGCCGGCGGTGAAGGAGTCCAACGCCCACCTCAGCACCTTCTGCTTCAGCAAGATCGACATCGGAGAAAAGGTGAGCGTCTCGTGGCGGGGCGGTGCGTCGAACCCAGTCGCTCAGACGGATCATGTGTTATTCCAGCAGCGACAAAACAGACTACCAGCAGCAGGTGCCGGGCGGGGGGGCAGCTGGTGAGGCTGTGCGGTAGCTTGAACGTGAACATCCATGCACGTAGCTGACACATGTTCTTGCTTCATAAATAGTTTCCATGTGGTGTCGACCTTGTGCTAACCACGTGGTCGTTGGGAGGGGTGGGTGTGTTGGTGTAGTGTTGATTGCCTGGAGTGGTGCAGTGGCCATAATGGTTCCCTCTGTTGTGTTGTAGCCGCTGAGGATCAATGGGGTCAAGGTTTACTCAGAAAATGTGGATAAGCGGCAGATCATTATGGACCTACAGATCAGGTGAGCCAATCACATCTCTGTTTGAATCGTGATTATTTTATCTCCGTAGCTGCTTTCTGATTTTTTTTAAAATGTCAGTCCTAGTTATTATGCTAACAGGTAGTATGGTTTATAGCCAACACTCTTTGAGCAGCTACTTTGTCAGACTAACTGGGGTGTCTTTTGACAGTGCAGCCAACAACTCACATTGTTTTCATACAGAGGTCAGTCAATAAATGGCCTCTTTCCATCGCGCTGTCAGCAGATGACTAACAGTAATGGGTAATTTGAATCCGGTGCAAGAGAGGCGGAAAATCATATTGAAAATGACTTCATAGCTAGATAATTCAATGTAAATACATGAAACGGCTATTGCTGAAAAAAATACAAGCCATAAATAGGATCAAAGACAATGTTTGATTTCTTGAAAGGGACTGTGAAACCTGGAAACAACTGGATTACTTATTTTTAAATCCTTTATGTTGAAAAGTGATCGACCCCCGATTGAGGATTTTCACCAGACATGCTTCTGTTGTTTGTGTCTCAGCTTTGTCGGCAACACAGAAATCGATGTCGACATCAAACGCTACTACTGCAAAGCCGGCATCAAGAGCATCCAGGTGAGGAAATTCCTTTTTTTTTTCTGATTGGTTTTGGATCCTCATAGAGGCACTCTCTCTCTCTCAGCACGAGTTTCAGACTCTGCAGCGGCTGTCAGGAAAGAACATGAAGTGTTGCATATAAAGTGGCACTGTGTGTTGAGGTAAAGGTCTGTCCTGTCATCTTGAATTTGGGAGGCTTTTTCAGTCCTGCATGAACAGCAGCTCCCAGCATATCATACCAGGATGCTGAAGATATTTTAGACTGCAGCCTTTTTTTTCCCCTTTCAGTTAAACATTCCATATATCCAGTGGTTTATTACATGTCTAAATATAGAAAGGTTTCAGGGATCTAGGTAGATAGTTTATCATACTCTGGTATGACAACACAAATAGAGGTCTGATGGAAGAATGTGTTCATACAGGCTCACACTGATAAGGGTGACGCTGTGTAATGAAGTGCATAAAAGAAATAGAATAAACATGTATTGCGTTTGTAAGCAGCTGTAATGAAATGCTCTGCGGGGCTGGTTTTCAACCCCTTTTTGGCTCGAGGATTCACAGATTGCATAAATGTTAGTGTGATAAGCATCTCCAGGGCGTATTTTCCACTGTGGCTAGAGGGAACCTGCCTCCCCCTCGCTATGCAGAATCATTCTCACATGGCACGTCGTAGCGCTGTCAACCAGAAACATGATTGATAACATAAGAATTGACCTAATACAATGAGCTGGTTTCCGGGTCCTGACTCACCGTGGCTTATGGGGGCAAGTATTGTAATTGTATTTTGATTTCCTCACCTTACTTTGGTGACCTTGATTGTTAAGCAATATATTAATGAGCTGACCTGGGTTTCATCTCAGAGGCTGCATACGGTCCACCTGCTTTCTTTCTGGGCTGCTGAAATAGAATCTATACCTCAGAGTTAAACCAAAGAGAAAATTAGAGCCGTTGAAGACCCCCTCCAATCAGGCTTCATTTACCTTGTTAACATGTCCATATGGTGTTTTTTTTAACATGAAAATAAGCATTTCCACTTTGAAACTGTAGCACTGATTGATTTGAAAAAACATGGATTAACACACATGGAGGGAAGCTTTCTGTATCATTATTCTTCCACGGAGTCAGTTTCTGGCTTCAACATGTATGGCTCCCAATATTACAACATGCTATTGTGTTGTGTAGGTGAGCTGGTGAGCTTGAGCTGCAGTGAGTGGAGAGCGATAGATGGAATGAGGGCCATGCATTTTAGTAAAAAGCGAAAATGTAGAGTAAAATCTAAGACAATATAAGGCAGTGAGTGTATATTTTCATGGAAACCACTCTAAATATGTGACTTTTATACACAAATATAAGTTTTTAGGAATGAAATCAACAATCTGAGGATAACCTAAAGATGCAAAACTATGCAGTTTTTTTTCCAAAATAAGGGAAAAGTACAGAAACTCTGAAAAAAAAGTTTTTTTTTCTCTGAACCCTTTGGGGGGTTATGACTCAGCTGTAGGGAACCACTACTTTGCAGAACTATTAACACAATCAATGGCCTGAAGAGAAGCACAGTAAAGGCATCATAAACCAGAAGGCCATATAAATATAATGTTGTGCTTTACTTTGATCACGAGGACTGAAGCATTCCTTTATTATATGTAGCTCATAAACAGAATTTTAAATAAATAAGCTCATAAAAACTCAAGCTAAATTCCTTGGTTTGTTTCCCCTTTCACTGGATTCCCCCAATTACTCAGAAGTGCATGAGTGTGATTTGTTGTTCTTGTACGTCCTTGGCCCCTCGTGTATCACTACAGAGGAACAGCAGGCAGAAATAAAAACAATTTGTGTTTCTCCTAGGAGACCGAATGCTGTTAGATCTGTCACCAGGAGACATTCGTTGTTTGCTGCCCCTATTATGTAACTCAGGCGGCCCTACTTTCACCCATCTCCCCAGCTTATTATCAGCCACTAATACATTAATCCCTGTCCGTCTTTGAGCTGGTTTGCGTTACACTGGGCAGGTGTGTTTGACTCCATAATAACACTTAGATTAGTGATGGCTTTGCAAGGAGAGGGGTTAAACACTGATGGCCACTTATTATATATTTATAATCAGCCTGTCATGCGGCGCGACGACTATGACGGAGGACTGAACTGCTGCTGCTTCACACAAAAAACCTTCCAAACCTGCAATTAAATCACTTAACACTGCAAATTGCGGTGTTTTTTTATTTTTTGTAAACAAATCCATTATTTTCAACCCATCCATTTTGTTTATTCCTTTGCTGGTCAGTTGCTGGTGTAGGTCACCCTGCCTTTAAGCCATTATTAGTCCTTGAGACGGTTTTGTCAATACTACTTTAAATGTACTGTATTCTAACTAGAGGCAATCATGACTTGGCAGTCTCACTGGAGCGAGAGATGTAGCATTGTCTAAAGAGGGAACTTCAATGTTTGTGTGATTTTTGCATAAACTCTGGCACCTGTATGGGCTTTCAATTCTTGTGCATGCAATTTCGACATTCATTTTGTTGCGCCAGCTTGGTATTAATTTAATTTTCTAACATAATAGCAAAATGACAGTTCAGAAATCCAGTGTTTAGTTTCAGGAAAGAATGTCTGAAATTGAAGGACTCATGGCCGCAGAAATAAGTCTGAAAATGAACGATGATGGCATTTACTGTGATGAACTGCATGCAAACACCAGAAGAACGTTATTGGTTTTGGTTTCAAGAGCGTTATTAGTATTGGTTTCATAACTGCTTTATTAGTATCGGGTTCAGTGGCGCAGTTTCCGCTTCTGACACAGTTCTACTTGGACAAGATTGTCTGACTCCCCAAAATAGAAATATAGCTTCAAAACAAACACGTTGGTGCTCAAACATCCTTTGTTCCCTGCTGTGGATTAGAGCAGCTGGTGGGGTTGCCACATGACACATCCAAAGCACTTCCAGTACCGTAATCCTTGTAATTGTCATATTATGTTATGGAGAAGGTGGAGGGTGACACGGGGCAGGTGTGAAGTCGGGCACCTATCGAGTTTCTAACCTGTCATGCGCTTCGGCGAACGGCTCCACCGCGGAAGAATGTCAAGGGCCAGCAGGGTGTGAGTTCCCTTCAGCGCTCTGTTTGTGTATATCAGTGTGTTCCTCTTGTGTTTCCATAGATCCACGGCGTGTTGAGGGTGGTGATGGAGCCGCTGCTGGGCGACATGCCACTTGTTGGAGCTCTGTCTCTGTTCTTCCTCAAGAAGCCAGTAAGTGCAGCTGCTAATAATACAACACTAATTAAGTCAATTAAACTTGTTTTATAGAGAAGCCGCTGAACCCATAATGACACTGCAGTCTGAATAAATCCAAATTTATTAAAGCAGAAGCCATTAAACTAGAATTTGAATGCAACAACAGGTGACTGCTAAATCTTTTCCAGCACAGCAGTGCAGCATCACATATTCAGTGTTTTGCTCTGATTTGACATGATATTTGAAAAGACATGAAAAGTTCTGGACTATCTTTTCTTTCTGTTCTTTATACTGGCCTTTTTTTTTGTTGCCAAGGTTGCCACCATTATCCTGCTGTCCTGAATATCTTTTATACCCACTTTTGTTCTCATCATACATTCTCACTGAATTCCATAGCATATCACCTCATAAACCTGTTACCACTCGGTTTTGCTAATCTGTTTCCCTTTTCCGGGTAGAAATAGCAGAAACAGGCATAAATTGAACTTTAAAAACAACAAAACAAAACAAAACATTTCATCAGGTAAATCACAACTGAATCACAGTGTAATGTGTTGTTTACATTTTACAGCCCCGATGTCCAGTTTGATTTCAGTTCATTTTCTTCCACGCTCATTACTATCAACCGCTGTCTGGAATAAACAATCTGCATCACTTTACGTGATTTGCATTCACATTACCAGTTGCTTGCACATCCAATATTTTCCAGCGCACGTTCCATGAATCTCTGCCGTTCATCAACTCTGCAGAGCCGCTGCTGCACAGCTTAAAAATGTTTGACCGATTTATACAAAATGGGAGGACCCAGTGGAAGTACAGCAGGGCTTGAAATAGCTGCAGATCAAGCCAGACCTACTTTGGCAGATTTCTCTACCCCAGGCACTTAGCTAAAGCTCAAGGTGGAGATATTACTGTAGGAGGCTGAGGAAAGAGGCAGCTCTAGTCAGTAAATTGTGCTGGAGTCCCACATGTAAAAACATACACACCCGCGCTAACGCCTATCAATCTTCTTCCAGCGTCTAGATGAGGAACATTACATTGGTTTACTGGAGGAGGGGCAAAATAAATTGCTAAAGCAATATCCTGTGGCTGAAAAAAAAAAAAAAGAAAGAAAGAAGAAAATCACGACATTGTGTATCCTGGACTTCAAAAAAAAAAAAAAAAAAAGAAGAAGAAAATCACGACATTGTGTATCCTGGACTTCAAATAACTCAGCGTCCTTCTGTCCGTGTGCCATACAAGGTCTGATGCTGAGTGCCAAATGAAACAGAAGCATTTCCAGACCATAAGAGGTCTTGGACACGTCTGGACTCTATGATCTCACTAATGCAACTCATTGTGGTGTAAATAAAAAGATGCAACGCATTCTGCAGTGAGACCTCGGTAGATATTTCATCGCCCTGGCTCAGAGGAGCAAACAGTTTTATACTTCATGTAACAAGTGATGAAGCAGCACTGAAAGAAATCTACTGTTGAGTGAATTAGTAGACTCACATAGACTCAATGTATGTTCAGTTCATCTTTAGGCTGTAGGAAGTGCAAAAATAATGACAAAAATTGATGTACTAAAGGAAGAGTTTAACATTATGAGACATAACAATTGAAGTTAGTCTTATTGATTCATTCATTCTTAAAAATCCATCACATTTTCAGATTATAGATTCCCAGTTGTGAGGATTTCCTCATTTGTTATTTGCACAGATTTACTGCCTTTGTGCTATTGATAAGAAAAAGAAACGCCTAGCTGAGACTGGAAATGAGGTATGAAGACTACTGTTGACTCTATAAAGTCCTTTATTTTATTTTAGGATGAAAAAAAGGGGGCAAAACTTGTTGATAAGCAAGCTTTAGAGATGCTGATAAGTGCATTTTTTTACCCTCTGTTTCCAGTATTTAGGCTAAACTAAGCTAGACTTTGCATGACTGTAGCTTCATATTGAACCAAAGTGTCTCTTAAATGTGCTTATTTTTTAACCATATAAGCCCAAAGGTGTCACGATGACAGTGATTTTGGGCACAGAAAATAAAGAGGTCCTCACATTTGAGACGCTATAACCTGCAAATTTAATCAGCTGTGGGAATAGTCATACTTTCAGCATTTAATCGATTCAGTTCCCACTGGGTTTACGAGGATAAAGATTGTGATTATTTTTTTCAGTCCACCCGCCTTATGTTGCGGGAGTCTTCTGACACAGATATAACATGCAGGCAGGGCTGTGCTCTGCCTCAGCACCCGCCACATGGTTGACAGCCCTGCAGTGCTCTCCTCTCCGCTGCAGCGCTCAATGCATATGCTGCAGTGTAAGCAAGCTGGACAGAAGAAGTAGGGTGGGAAAGGCTCGTTAAGAAAGCGCTGCTCCTTCAGCTCGCAGGCAGGAGCAGATCAAAGCCCACTGGAATCCGCCTGCGTCTCAGGTCTCAGCCGATGCTACTCACACCTCTGTTTGATTCCTTTGAACTGTCGTCCCTTATCTAGATTTGACCCGCTGCTGGATTTTCTTCGAAAGTGAATAAGACGAGAATGTAGCTTTCCACAATAGAAAGCTACAGTGTCCCTGACCTCATTATCCTGAAAACTAATGAGACCCCAGAGGGCTGCGGCTACTTTTATAAATATTTCAGCAGCCAGGTGTTTTTGTATTCAAATCCAATTAAGCATTTGCGCTTTCTGTGCTCTTTTGGTGACTCATAAACTGCAGCTAACTGAGCAGATAAGATCTGTTTAAACAAGGTGAAGGGAACTTAAAAGGAAAAACTGAAAGGTTAAAACAATAAGCTTCAATATATGAGAGACACTTTTCCCCAAACAAAATCCCCCCAAACTTTAGCAACTTATCCACAAAACTTTTGATTTATTTAAGTTTGCTGCAACTTCTGAGGGACTCTCTGTGCCTGCTGTTTTTTAATCAGTGAAGTTCGTCTGCCACAAAACAAGAAGCCAAGTGGTAAACGTAGCACGAGGGCAGGAAGCAATGGAGTTAAGTGTGTGAATCCATTTAGAGTCATTCACACTTTCTCTTCTTACAGTCGAACCCATTGGGGATGTTCACTTTTTTTTTCTTTTGTTTTAGCTTCTGGACATAAACTGGACCGGCCTCACCAATATACTGGACATTCCTGGGCTCAAGTAAGTCAATCCAAACTTGCTTTTGTTGCTTTTGAAGAAAACAGCTTTTGTTTGTGTGAGAGAAATGAAGCTGAGATCTCAAGATGATTCTAAGAAGTTTGTTTCAGTTTAGCTTCCAGGAAACAGGACACATACCTGCTTTTTTTTTTTTTTACTGTAATATTGCAAGCCGTAATATAGTTTTTAAATCATTTTTAACCCATTTTATCTCTCAGAATTGTGTTTGTTTTTAAAAAACACCTATAACGTTTGTGTGTGTTTAGGGTAGGGCAGTTAAAAATTACTTTATTGATCCCTTTGGCTTTATACACCTATTATTTCTTATGAAAATTCACAGGGGTTTTTGGCTTTGGCTTCTCTTTGTGGGTGTGTTTTCACAGCATATTGTCTTTTCCAGTATCTGGGAAGATAAATTTCACCAAATGTGCTGAAAGTATTTCCTACTAAAGGGGTTTTGTGCAGCGTTTCCGTCTCTGCTGGATGCCTCTGGTGTCCTTGTTGCTGTTGTGCTGTTATTTAGCACTTGGACAGACTGCGCTGAACTCTTCTTTTTTTTTTTTTTTTCTGTCGAGCACATTTCTTTACTCGGTGACCTCCAGTGCTCACATTCCTATGAATAACAGGATAATTGCTAAACGAACTAACTGGGTTAAAACAGATCAGATCAGACGATGCGCTGGTTGTAAACACTTTCCTCAGTCTTGCTTGTTTTGTTTTGCTTATTTTAAGTATCTCCTCCCCCCCGGGGTTGTTGTGTGGGCTGAGCAGAGAGTAAATGAAAGGCGATTAAGAGTCGCCAACAGCACAACACAATTACTTGCTGCCATCTTGAGTGGCTCATACATTATTCGCGGCTGAAACATGCGTGAATGTCATTTTCTGGGATTACAGCTGCTTGTCTCATTGCCCGATGATGTGGACAAGACATGTTGACACAGGCAGGAGCTCAGTGGACACTCTGTTCCAGCACCTCTGTCTACAGCGCTCTGTGGGGGTGAAATGGATCCATAGAGCCGGTGTGCTTGTATGCGGGTGTGTTGGTGTGCGAGGGAGGGGCGGTTTCACGTGCAGAAAACGAGGGGTTAGCTGAAGTAGCAGAGGGCCATATGGTGAAATCGTAGCCGCAGATACAGAGTTCCTTAAATGCAGCGACAGACGGACAGCATCAGCTGCCGGCTTGAAGGTTGGCCCAGTGTGTCGCTGTTAAACCCTGGAAGTGTTATTATGATGTAACAAATGTTTGTTTACATGTTGTAATATGTAATTCAGAATCAAAACAAGAATATAATAGCAGCTCTGGTAGACTGTGCTTAACCTCTGCAGTGTTGTATGTCAGGGTTTTCATGTTTACATGTTCACAGTGGCACTGCGAAGATGAAAACAGTGATAACAGGCTGAATATTATCATTATTATATTAGTAATCAAAAAGGGGAAAAACGCATATTTGGGACTATATATCTATAAAACCCTGGTATTATTATGTAAAAAATGTTTGTTTACATATAGAAACAAGAATCTAAAGCCTCGCTAGCGGCTCTGCTAGGCTGTGCTTAACCTCTGCAATGTTTTCTATAGTTTGAATAAAGCAAGCTTCAACACAACACTTAGAAATGCCTTTATTTATGTTTTATATGCCTTTAATTATAAGAAAACGCTTGAATAATTTATCCTTTAGTGTTGGAGGCCGATGTCAAAGCAAAAGTTAGATAAAAAGCACATTTAAAAACAAAACGAGTTGAGCTAAAGTGCTGTACAGCTTAAATACCGACAATACCTAAAAGACAAATGTGAATAATAGATAACAGCTCGTACCTGGTACTTGTAACCGATCAGATGCTGTGGGATGCTGCTTTAGACCACAGTCGTGACTACAGGTGGATAAAGGTGACTGCGTTAGAGCCAAAGTTTTATCTGGGATCAGTCCAAATAGCAATAATGGGGAACAAAATCAAATTTGATAATCAGCCAAGTTGATAACGGCTTCACCCGTAGTGGTCATAGTGCTCACCATTTTATTGTAGTGTGTTAGCGTGCTATTATGTGCTTATTTTCCCATACGAATGCAGAGCTGCATCATTTCGTAGTCAAGTATTAAATTAAACGTCAACTTGATCGTCGATTTGAGTAATTACATTTAATTCTTGTTAGTCCAACTTCAGATATCTTCAGGTTTCTTTACTCCTCCATGAACTGAACAGCTTTAGGTTGGGCACACAAACAGGACTTTTGAGGATGTCTTCTTGGACTTTTGCAAACACTGATTAACATTTTTCCACCATTTTCTTACATTTTATTAACCAAAAAGCTCATCGATTAATTGGGACTATATTTAACAGAAAAAGAAAAAAAAAAAAGACGATAAAAATGATTTTTTATTGCACCCATATTGTGTTGCTAGAGGGAAAGTCAGGGTTCATTTAAGTGAAAAGTTTTCCTCTGGGGACAATAAGAAACTGTGCCAATCCACTTAGAAGATGTGGTGATATTTTCCCGGATAAGTGGAAACATGCACCTGCTAACCGTGCTGGAGGAAAAGTCATAGGATCATTAGAGCCATTAGGATTCATCTCCTAGGAACCATGAACGCCTGTACAAAATTTCATGGCAGTCTGTTTAACGGCAATTGAGATATTTTGATCTGAGCTAAAGTGAGGGACTCACACATCCACACTACCATCAGTCCAATCCGTGCTGCTAGTGTGGCTTCGTCTTTGTTGTGAGTCGGTACTGTGCAAAAACCACACAGTATCATACTGTATGCTTTAAAGTATGTGTATGTATGCAGTGTTGTCCTAACATGAATAAATAAACAGTCTCACTTTGTTAGTTTCTGTACACACACAAACACACACACACACACACACAGGCAGGAACATGTGGGTGTTCCAGCTTTTCCGCCAGGGGACTAACAAAAATGCCACAACAAGCGCTGATGCAGCAGGAATCCCTTTACACCCTCAGCTCTCCGCTGGAGAAAAGCTGTGATCAGTCCCCCACCAGAGAATCATAACACTTCTGCTGCCGTTTCATTGTGAGCTAAGCCGAGGCGTGATCAAATGAATGTTTCTCCTGGCTCCGGAGAAGCGCAGGTGACTAAATTGAGTTAATTTCACCTCGAGTCTGTGATGCTTCGGTACCGTGGTGGAAAAAATGCTGCTTTTAAAAGGAAAAAATAATTGGTTTTGCTGGATAGCGTCAGAAATTGCGGCTTCTCTGAGGAATTTCTGATTCCCACTACAACTATGTTACATCTGTGACTGTAATAAATAGAAAGATGGTAATTATTTGCAGGTATTTATGTAAAAACAAAAGTAAATCCTCTGGTAATAGGACAGATTCATAACGCTGAATCATTTTGAGCAACACCTGCATGATATTCCAGCGAACTCAGAGCTACTCTTTACTCTGAAATGTCAAACAGCTGCTGATGAAATATCATCAGCTGGATGGTTTGACATTTAAAAATTCGTTCTCCTTACTTATATTTTTGCTTGTTCAATATGTATGCCTGCTTCGTCCAAAAAAAAAAAAAAAGAAAAACATTATTGATTCGAGTGTTAGCTGTAAACTTTGCCCTCTGTGCTGTGAGGTGCCTTCAGCCCCACCACTTAGCCTTCAGCCTGTGTTTGCTGGTGTGAGTCGGGGTCAGGTGTGCTGAGACCCGTTTGCTGACCTGTGTCACAGTGAAGAGAAAATTAGTTGCAGCGCGGTAGTGAGCTGAATATTGATGGAAATAGAAATGTTTGCTGCCTTAGGAAAGCAGAGAGAGAAGTAAACAACAAATGTCGGCTGTCAGATCTTAGTGTTCGACCAGTTATTGCCGACCAGAAGCTTCAATTTGATACTGCGCTGTGTTTGGAAAATGTGAAAATAAACTGTGTACAAACATAAGCTTTACTGGAATACTGGGGTTTTAACATCAAGCACTTCATTTCTTGCATTCTGGTGAATCTTTATGCTGCATCAGTTTAAAGCGGGGGTGGAAAAGTCTGTATTTCTGTAATTTATTGATGAAAATCAAGAGCTCCAGGAGACAAATCAACATATATTGGAACATATATGGATTTAATTGCATTTGCTGCCACAGATTCAGTAGTGGTGCAGTCTCATAATTCATATTTTAAGGCCCAGTGCTGAAGAAAAGAAGTCCCTCCCATCTGAGGCATTGTTTCATCTATTAGTAATGTTATAGTGTTTTGGGGTTTTTTTGGATAAAAGTTTTCTTCTTCTTTCATGTTTTTACTGGGAGGAGCAAATGCACACACTCTAAATATTGAGGAGGATGTGTTTCCTAAGTTCCTAAGTTTTTCTTCATTTAAGGTATTTATAGCAGAACTACTTTGTTTTTTTCTTGTTGTTTTTTGCGTCATTGTGATTAAAATTCGGTTCTGCATTGTTTGACAAACTATAAGCTGTTTCAGTGTTAAATTTGATTTTTAAATGACCGGAAACAGAAGAAAAATGGATAAAATAGCTTTAGTGAAGTTTGCTTTTACCTTTGCTTTTTTTTTTAGCTCTCATGCTATTTTCTCTCTAAGGTTACACATGTCTATGGCATAGTATTTTTAATATGGTTTAACTTGTCATGTCAGGAGGTCAGATTGTGGTTTGAAATCAACTTTACCCAGATATGTAGCTCACTGTGTTGACTTTGCGTCAGTGCTTTAGGTGGCTTGCTGTGGTTTAGGCAGCAGTGCTGATGCTGAAAATATCTTGGGCCTGATTAAAAAAGACACCAACGATACAAGTGTCCGAAATTTATAACACCAATTACATCCAGGCTGTTACCCAGCTTCTGTAAACTCCTGCGCTGGTGAACGACTAGGAAGCACAGGGGACAGGTACAACTGTGTAATAGTATAAAAATGTCCAATTTTCTCAGTCTAGCTTGTCAACTGACTATACTGCGGTATCTTGCGTGGTCATTTAGTTGATTTGTCTTGTGTGAGTAACCGTCCTCGAGGTGATTTCAGGCCGACTTCCATTTGGCATTTCACCTAATTCATGAATGCCTTTGAGTAGGATAGCCGCATCATGATTAATTGATGCTCGTTCCTGAATAACAACCGTTTTTTTCCCTTTTTTTTAAAGGCTCAGCAATAACAGCGTGATGAATTTTCATTGTAATTCAATTTTTAAAGTCGCCCCGACTATAATTTTCCAGCTGTGCCATTGCGGCTAAATAGATACAGGAAAGCCTGGCGGTAATGTCATTCTGTGCCCTCACTGTCATTATTTTTGTCGTGCAGCGTTGAATCATTAGAGGATCAGACAGAGATTCGGAGGTTTGTTGGCCAGCAGCGGCAACAACATGCTTGAACTGACTCCAGTTTTCCTACCATCAGCTCACATGTAAAACAGAAATGTACTGTACTAAGCTGAGATTAAAGGAGAATATTTATAACCCAAGGGCACTCTTACTGTCTTTTAAATAATTCACTGCTCCACTCTGTTTATCTTCTTTTTCCTCCCTTCTCTTAACCCTCACTCCTGTCCTCACAGTGGCTTCTCTGACAGCCTGATTCAAGACATTATCTACAGCTACTTGGTCTTGCCCAACCGTATCACTATCCCACTGGTCGGGGATGTGGAACTGGCCAAACTACGCTTCCCGATGCCAAAGGTACTAATGACGTTTTAAACTGCATCCAATTAAACATAAGCCGTGCAAAGCTGCAAGTGTTTGGTTGAATTCAAAAGCAAATCAGACCGCTTCATCAGGGAATACATGGTTAGTAGATCAAAGCCCCCGATTGTCTCACGTCTCAGGGGGGGGTTGTTGTTGTCAGATATGTGTTCTTTGATTCAGTCTTCATCATTAAACAATGTAGCTATCAGAGTTTTCAAGCTAACCCCCAGCACTGAAGCACAATGAAACAAAAAGAGCCACTACAGCAAAAAAAGACATGCCAAGGCCGTGCCGCTAGGATTAGTATCCATGGCAACAAGATGAAAAGTTTAGTGTGTTTCGCTGCAAGAAACATCCTTGTTGCGGGTCTAATATTTTATTAGGTTTAAGATATTTAATGCAGCACTTCTTTCTGTGCTTTTGTTTTAGCTCTCCTAATCTGACTTTAATGTGAAACCACTTTAGTTGATTGAGGAAAATAAAGAATTGTGATGATAAATCATTCATGGTATTCAAACACGTTTTTTTTCTTTTGTCCTGTTTCAAGAAGATGTTTGTTAATGTTAAACTGAGTAACATGTGAAAAAAAACACCTTTCTGTTACTATTTCTGACATTTCATCTACAAAACAAGTGTTTTTCTATTTGCTCCTGTCACATTTTTTTTTTTAAAACTGTGGCCTCAATATAAATTCCTGCACTTCTATTGAAACAGCACAACCATGGCTAGATAAAGAAAGAATAAAAAAGCGTATTTTGTGCACTACAATATAGTTGTAAAGCCGTAAATCGTTTCTTTGATTATTTATTCTCCAAAATTGAATTGGAATGCAAGAACATTTTTCTAAGTGCCTGCAGGTGTTATGGATATTGCAAAAAAAGTTTTACGACTAACATCTTTAATTTGTTTCTTTACAAGTCCCCTAGCTCCTGATTCATATGTGCAGCCTGCTGTTCAGCTCAGTTCAGCTACAAAGCCTCTATATTTTTCTGTTTTTACAGTTTCTTAATGGATAATAAAAGTTTTTTAAAGACAACACATCTTTCAAACCCACCAGTGCGGTTTGGGGTTCAGAGGGTTACCTTTAATTGATCAAATAATCAATAATTTGTTACTACTTAATCATTCGCGTGCACTTACCTTATATTACCCAAGACTATACTGCTGGTAACGTCACGTCTTATAAACTCTGACTTCACCGTGGCCTTAAAGTGTCAGAGGCAGCTATATCAAAGCTGCTCCCTTTAACTCTCTGCTCTGTCTTGTGTCCCCAGGGAGTCCTAAGGATTCACTTTCTGGAGGCTCAGGATCTGGAAGGCAAGGATAAATTTCTGGGCGGGCTAATTAAGGGCAAGTCTGACCCCTACGGTGTCCTGCAGATCGGCAACCAGCTGTTCCAGAGCAAGACAGTAAAGGAGAGCCTCCATCCCAAGTGGAACGAAGTTTACGAGGTGATGATTAGAGTACAGCAGATCATCTTTTGTTGCCCGTGAGAAAATACCAATTAATTTATTTCCTATTATAACTTCTTGTTGATAATAAAGCAATCATGAGGTTGTTGTTTTCCTGAAGTCTTCATCATGGCTTTTCCCAGTTTGCATTCATCCGTCTACTGATGCTTCATGCCAGTTTGAACAGGCATCAGCATGTTGTTGTGTTTCTTCAGGCTCTGGTGTACGAGCACTCAGGTCAGCATCTTGAGATCGAGCTGTTTGATGAGGATCCGGACAAGGATGATTTCCTGGGAAGGTGAGCCTCTCTCATTTCCTACCTTGCTGTAAACGTGTTGCACATATTTCATGGGAAACAAGCTCTGTTGCACCTCAGCAATGTGGCTGATAGGTAAGAACAAGATTTGTTGTAATCGACTAGCTAGAGTACATAAAGTTTAAACCAACTAATTGCAACCTGGGGGAGATTCGACAAACCTACCTGCTCGTAGACATCAGTCATAATGAGGCAGAGGTGTTGTCCAACAGTTACCAGCCCAAGGGCAAATTTGATTGATTTTGCCCCAAGGCTGAAACACTACACCCAGTGTTATTACCACAAAGCAGCCAATCGATGTCTGGACCCCCTCCGCTCAGATTAATTGCTGTGATTTTTCTGTCGCCTGTTTGCCTTCCAAATTTCAGTCATTATTTGCCATTACTTGCAGCCTCATGATTGATATGACTGAGCTGCACAAAGAGCAGAAGGTTGATGAGGTAAGACACTTTCTTTGCCATTTATTTTGTGATTTAATTAGAGTTTGTTTCAAGTTTTTACATTCTGTGTGTCATACAGTAACAGTTCAACACTTAAATCGATGTGTATTTGCTTTCTTGTCAGGAGTAAGATGAGATGTTGTTACTGCTAGATGTGAATCCAGGTTGTCGTAGCTTAGCACAAAAACTGGTGCACAGGTAACAAATTCTGCTTTGAAGGAGCGCTAAAGCTTCATCGATTAACACGTTATATCTCGATTTACATTTGATTGCCTCCCCAACTCTGGGTGATGATAAAAGTTGCTGCACCGGCACACAATCCCTCCCCAGAAAACCACAAGGCACTTATTCACTTTAGGCTTAGTAAGGATTAGCCAAAGAGATATAATGTATTAATAAATGGGTTTTATATGTGCCAGAACTGAGAGTTTGTTTCCAGGCTCTGAGTTTTAAGTGTTTGTGCTAATTAAGCTGCCAGCTTCATAATCCCATGCAGTCTTGGGAGAGGTTACCATCTTGTTGTCTAACTCCACAAGAAAGCAAAGAAACAAACTGTGCCTTTTAGCAAGTCTATCGTTCAAAAAAAAATACAATTTGGTCCTTTCACTGACTTAACATAAACACTTAACTTTGACATTTTGCTGTATTGTTGCAGTGGTTCGATCTCGAGGAAGCGCCTACTGGGAAACTCCACTTAAAACTGGAGTGGCTGTCTCTGCTCTCCACTCCTGAGAGGTTGGACCAGGTACCACACTGGAAAATAAAACAAACTCTCTTGCTTCAACAGAGCAACAGTTGTCTGACACTGTTTATGTGTTTGCTGCTAATAATGGAGGTTGGATACATATTTCTCAGCGGTGAGTGTTTGTCCTGTCCTTCTTGTCCAATCAGGTGCTGCGGAGTGTGCGCGCAGACAGAAGCCTGGCCAATGATGGACTGTCGTCAGCACTGCTGGTGGTCTATCTGGACTCAGCCAAGAACCTGCCAGTAAGATAGAGCAGTGTTCACTTTGTTATAATACTGGCAGTGCTATTGCTCTGGTGCCATAGCTTGTGTTGAAATATAACAGTAGGCTCACATTGAACTGCCACAACATTAAAACCACCTGCCTAATATTCTGTAGGTCGCGCACAAAACCTCAGAAGTGTGTGAAGACATTAGCTGCACATGCTTTAATGAGTGTAAATTGTAGAGTGGGGCCTCAGGGATTTTACTTGTGCTCGATCAGATTGAGATCTGGGGAATTTGGAGGCCAACGTAACTCCTATAACTATTTGTCATGTTCCTCAAACCAGTCCAGAAAAAGGCCACATCATTCAGGTTTGTACGTGGTCGGCATTAGTGTTTAGGAAGGTGCTAGCTGTCAAAGTAACATCAACATGAATGCCAGGACACAAGGTTTCCCATCACACTGCCTCTCCTGACTTGCCTTCTGCCCATAGCGCATCTTGTTGCCATCTTTTTCCGTGATAAACAATGCACACGCACCCTGCCATCCACAAGAAAATGTGATTCTTCAGATCAGGCCACCTTCTTCTAGTGCTTCATGGTCCAGCTCTGATGTTCACATGCCTATTCTTGGCATTTTTGGAGGTGGTCAGCGTGGACACTCACACAGTGTCTGTGGCTGCTCCAGCCAGCAGCAATCCACATTGGGTTCTGACACCTTTCTATCATAGCCAGCATTAAGGTTTTTAGCATTTGTGTTCAATAGTTCTTTTGTGGGATTAAGCTAAACAAGCCAGCCTTTGCTCCCAATCAATATTAGTGATTCACAGATTGTCCTTTATAGGACCACGTTTGGTAGATTCTAGTCACTGAATAAAACCCCACAAGACCTGCTGTTTTAAGCTCAGACTCAGACGTCTAGCCGTCCAAATCTGGTTCTTGTCAAAGCCTCTCATATCCTCATGTTTTCCAATTTTTCCTGTCTCTAACTCTGCCTCTTGACAGGCACTTTTGTGACGTGATGCTCAGTGTTATTCGTTCCCCCAGTCAGTGGTTTTAATGTTGTGGCTGTTCGTTTGTACAGTATGTAGGCGTTTTGTCCTCCACCTTAAATCATACACACCTCATACACCAGCACTGAACCAGTTTAGTCGGGTAAGCAAGCCTTGTTTAAGTAAGGATTACTGGTCAGTGTTGTGAAATGCTTCACGTTCCTGTTTCAGCCCCATAACGTTTATTCTTTGTGACTTGAGTGATTTCAGTTCTTCAGTTTGCTTTCCATGTTCTTTGAAAAGTTGACTTTCTTTCATGCACTCTGACTTCAAGGTGAACGTAACACCCAGGACAGATTGTTGCAGTTGTATCCTAACTATCTGAGCTACTCTAAGCTTGTGTTTTTAAGTAAGTTACATGTTAAATGATTGCAGCTCAGGGATTCTGTTTTACATGAAGATTTCTATTGTTCGATGAGAACATTGACACTCTCAAGCTAACAAAAGGCTTGTCAAAGTTAATGTGTTAAGGTTGGAAAGTTTGTACTGCACCCAGCGCAGTAAAACTCACCTACTTACATTTCCTCTTTATTCTCTTTCCCCTTCACTGAAGAGCGTCTTCTCAGGCAGCTTAGGCTGCGGAAACTTAAGTGAGAGGAGAGCGTCGGGCCTAGTCTTTTGTGAGAGCAATACTTCTGAGTATAGAACAATATTTGTGAGTCCACCGGTACTTTTGCATCTTCATAGCGATAGCATTAGTGGTGTGAAATAACTTGGGTTGAACAGTAACAGGAGTCCTCAAGCATGCGTTAGCTGCACGGTTTTACTGTAACGTCTAATATAAATGTCCAATAACCATTAACATGACCCCGACACTTCAAAACAGAGGATCCAGCTCTGCAGGCTGCTTGTTAGTCAGATGCATATTATGCTTAGTTCAAGGCTGAAGTATAAAGTACCTACAGTAAGACGAGCTCACTGGCAGGGCTCGTAATGATCTGTCGGTTTTAGCGAGCAAATAAGTGCGTAGCTTTACAGATGTAGCTTGTTAAAAAAAAAAAAAAAAGTCTCACAGTGTCTGGAACTAACTTCTTCAAGTCTACCCTGTAGCGAATATCCTCATTATTCTGACCCGTGTTTTCATTGTTAGCTCCCTGCAGCGGTACCAGTATCAGCCCCCACACTGCTGCTTTTTATTTATTTATTTACTATTCATGCCATTCATGTTTTTCTGTACAAGTTCCAGCATATTTTCTGGGTTGTTTTTAAATTTTTTTTCTCATGCCTCTTACCCAAAAGCAAAAATCATTCCCGTCCTACTAATTATGGGTGTGATTTTCTCCCCCAAATCTCCTTGTGGCTTAAAGAGCAACCTGTCAGATTTCACCTATGACGGGTTGAAGCAAGTCTCAGTCTTTAAGGCCCTGAAGGTAATGTGGGAAAAATGGACTGCATGAACAGATCACACCCTGTGTTCTCACCTGTGCTGGCCCAAGTGCACCGTCCAACGTCGTGTGATTGTGATGACTATCAGACAGACAACGTGAATTGTCGTGGTTTTGTTTGTTTGTTTGTTTGTTTTTTATGTGCATGAAGATGGATGATTGCATTGCGTGTCCAATGCCTTGGTTGTGCCGTGCTCTTCTTTCTCCTGAGTGATGTATCATTTTCATGTTTCATTCTCCTGCATGCAGAACTCTATTACTGCACTCAAGCGGAAGCCGGAGGAACATTCTGTGGCCAAATATGTGTTCACCACGTTCATGTTATCAGAGTGTTTGTCATTTTCCTGCCTGTCAGACTGACCCCACATTTGCATTGCAATGGAAATGAGCCAAAGCAAGTGTGCTCCTGTGTTTGTTTATCAAGACGGTGATCAATCAATGTTTAGGAATCCAGGATAAGGGCTTCATGCTTGTCAGGCTGGCATTTCTACATTTTTATATGCTGAAGAACAACCTTTTCGAGTGGGTTTGCTTGGCACAGATACAATAATGAGCAATGCAGCATAATGTAAGAAAATGGTAAACGAGGAAGCAGGAAGCGGTAAAGACGAGCCTGCTATCATGCATAACATCTATGACTATCTTATTTAGCAGTCAGTTGTTGTGCTGTGTCACAGCAGGGCTGTGCAAAACAGAGCTTAGTTTCAGGTTACACTAACTAAACTAACTAATTATATGAATTCCAGTTAGCATGAGTCGTGTCCTACATTTTCCAGGAAGTTTCAAGCCTCCCATTGTCTCTCTCTCTTCTCACACACACACACACAGTGGGACTTCCTCAGCACGGCATCAATCCAGCAGTCAGTGAAGCTCACTGCAGCATTGTGTGTCACTCTTATCTGGTGTTACAGGACAGCGGGAGTACAAATGCTTCAGGTTTGCCCCAACGGGTTCAGTATTTATCATTCTCACTGCAGTGCTGGCTGCTAGCAGACTGAGCTCTCTTATTTTGCTATCAGTGAATATAAACCCTGCGGTGAGGATGTTTTAGAAAATGTGCCGCAATCTTTGACATATTTGGAAGATTATGTTTTGAGAATAGCGATTCAAATAGCATTGTTGTTTTAAAATCGCCCAGAGGTGCAGGCCAGTGAGAACATCAGATCTTGTCTTCACCGCCTTGCTGGCTCCAAGATTCCTGAAAACCATTTGAGTAACAAATGCTGCAGCTTAGTGGGTCACATGTTAAATTTTAATGGACATGCTGCAGACATGTCGCCACTATGACGGCAGTGAGTAAGAAGAAGCTCCAGCAAACCTCTAAAGCCTGATGACCTTTTTTTTCTGATAATGTGAACACATCTGCACTCTTAGCAACTATTTTCACATGTGTGTGTAAAACAAGACGAGTCGGTGTTACGTCAAACTACACAAGAGGCAACCCCGTCAGGAAATACTTTCACACCGTATGTATTTACATTTACACCTTAGTGAGAGTCGAACAGACTCCTTATTGTTCGGTGGATTCTACGTTTGTTTGGCTGCACAAACCGTATGTGATTTGGTTTATTCACATATTAATCATCGTGTTGTGCTTTTAAGACACCTTTATACTACTTAGACACACTATGAACATCATATCATAAACTGAAAGTCCAGGTTTTAGGAAAAGTTTTACAGTCTGAGAATGGCACACGCAAAACTGACACAACTCAACAACAACAAAATAAATAATCTCAACCTTCCATCTGCCGTCTAATGTCTAAACAAAAGAAGTTTTTTTCCTCCAATAACTGCCAAATGTGAAACCGAAACAGTCACGTACTACTGAAAAGATGCAATTAAATATGCTACAGTAGTCTAACATCTGTTATGAATAGAAAGAAGGATGAACATCAGCTGCTTCTTTTGTCGTGATTTGGATCAATTGTATGTCACTAAACTCATCAGCCAACACAGAACTCCGTCTAATTTACTTTATACAACACAGAATAACAGATGTGCTTAGAAACTTAACAGTATAAAGAGTTTATTCTTTGTTCAGAAGGAAAAACTAACTGGGCAGAGCAGAGCTTCATTCTTCTGAACAGACGTGTGCAAAAGGTATTTTGTACACGCTTCTTTTTATTTGCAGGAGAGAGGAGCCGCATCAGTGTAAATACAATTCATGCCAGTTTCAAGCACATTAAGAGCACACATATTGTATTAATAATGTAAAACCGTCTGCTTTTTGAAGTTCCTTTCTTCGGTTTGCCCTCTGAGTTCGAGTCGTGTTGTAATAAAGTGTGCAATTGTGTTAATCAGCCCGCATGTACAATGTGAAGCTTAATTCTAATGCTGGTGGGAAATAGATGTCAACTTTGAGCACTCCTCATGAGAAAGGATGGGATAACAAGCAAATTAAGACTTCTCCTCTGGCTTCATCGCCCCTTGGCCTGTAGATATGTAGGGTATTATTATTCTGTAAGGAATCCTGAATAATACTTAGCTGTCAAAACCCAGCATGCTAAATTTAGACTGCAGAGGAGACAAAGCCTGGCAGTCTCCTTGGTAGCCTCTGTGCCTGCAGCCCTGCTTGTCAGAACGTATGGTAATGTTTCCCTCCCTTTTGAACTGCAGACTCTTTGACCACCGTGTGCTTGATAATGTCTCCACAAGCTGATATCTGGGTGTAATTGTGTTGTCCGTTACCGTGTCACAGCGAGAACAATCGGCTAACTGCGCTCTCTCTGTTTTTTCTAATAGTCTGGCAAGAAGAGTAGCAGTGAACCCAGCCCTTATGTCCAATTCACAGTTGGGCACAAAACACTGGAGAGCAAGGTGAGTCATAAACTTTCCATTAGTATTATTACACTGACTGCTTTCGGTTGGGCTTTGCACTCCTACATTGATTTGTTGCTTAAAACTGTTAGTTTTACTCTGAGAGGAAATGATTTTGTTCAATATCTTTCTGTTTTAAGTTGTCAAAAAGATTTCCAGGCAGTCAAACACTGAACGCGGCAGTTCTGTTATTTCCCCCTCCCAGAATACCGCAAGTGACAAACGAGGAAATACTGTGTGTCACGTTGATACACACAATGATGTATTGAAGTCAAACCAACTCAGCTTAAACTGTTTCAATGAAGCTTCCTTCCTCTTCCCTCTAACTGTGGAATTAAAAGAATGATGAGCTGAAAATTGTTGCATGAAAATAAAGAACAATAAATGAGGAATTACAGCCTCCAACACACCATTAAGTGAAGACGAAGGAGCTGCTGGGCTGACATGAAGTGTGTTTACCAGCAATATCTCTTGGGAAATTTGTATCCAAAGCGAGAATATTGAAGAGGAAGAATCCGTTAATGAGACCAAGTCATGTGATGCTGGAGGTTTAAGATATCAGACCCTTTTGGTGGAGGATGTGGTTAGAATGCAGTTGGGTGTGAACACAGATATATTGAATCTATGTTACGTACGTGCCTTGTAATCCTGCTCTTTGAAGTTGAAGCAATGAAACCGAAAGCTTTAATTTGAGGGTGGTTTCAGTCACGTCAGAAGGCTCTAGTCGACATGTTTCCTCTCCTCCACATGTTTGTATCAGCAGATATCACTTCACAAAACTTCACGTCACTCATCACGTTTAAAGCCACAGGTGTGTTCAGTTTATTGGCTGGTCAGATTCTTGCTGACATTTAAGTTGGGAGGCGATGTGCTGGTAATCACATGACATTATCACATGTTATTTTTAATCACATGGTGGGGGGGAGCTGCTGGTTCAGATTTTTAACATTTCAAAATTCACTCTCCTCATTGTTTATGAGAGAAACACAGGACGCTCCTGTATAATGTCACAATCCTATATGTTTAAGTTGTTTATGTTTTGCTTGTCACATTACCCCGTAGCTTTAAACCAGTGGAAGGCACAAATTAACCTTGTAGAAAATTCAAAACTATTTTCGTCCAGGCTGGTGGCAGCTTTAAGCAGCAGTGGACTTAATTTATGTGTTCAGCCGATGAAATAATAGCACCAAAAATACCAATCTACCTTCTGATTGCATAGGCAGGACAACCTCCTAAGTCTCATAAAGCATGCAAACAACTAAAAACACAAACAAGATCCCAGTGCTGGTGAAAAATCAGTCATTTAAACATATCACCTGTTTTAACTCATGTATACATTGGATCAGATCATTGTTTTTGTTTGTCATATTTCAGGTGTCATAGGAAAACAGTAATCTTACTTCAAGAAATGCCAATAAGCCTTGAACTGGAAACTTTGTAGTTCCTGACTGCTCTGAACTCAGGGCTACCTACTGCCCAAGATTCCCACCTATTATGTAAACCAGCCCTCCGTAATGTGGCAGGCTAGAACCAGTCCTGTTGCTCACTGCAGTTGGGAACAAAACATGGCACCATAGTTACTAAATTAATTCAAAATTGACCCACTGTCAGCCTCTCACTGTAATCTTTAGCCTCTATGTATCATTACTGGCGTGTAAAATAGATTTTAAAGCTCTTTGATTGGATTTTTGTCACAGAAAATTAGTCTGTTTCTGCATTTTTATATATTCAAACCACAGAAGTGCTTATTTTGGGGGGAAAAATAATTAGATTTTAGCTTCTAAACTTGCCTTGTTCCTGGAGCGTTTTGCCTTCTGCCTGGTTTTTAAATAGATGCTCATTTGGGCTGATGTTGAAAACATACAGAGGCACAAACCTCCTTACTTGGTATATTTGAAATTGTTGTTTGGGCCTCTAATGCATGTCTGACGAGACCTTTGTGTCCTAAACTGAACCCATACAGGACATCAGTATGGATGTTGACCTCAAAAACCCTTAAAGCTGCAACACTTCATTGTTATAATTCCATTACAAAGCACAGCCTAAACAATTAAAAAAAACTATTATGTTGGTAATTAATTCTAAATTGAGCCAGATCTTGTGGGAAGACTGGCTGATTAACACATCCAGCTGTAGATTATAAAAGTCAATAGAGTTGATTAGAGGTTTAAAACAACACTAGTGTACAAGTAAAACTACAAGAGAATACATGTCAAAATATATATAACACCAATATTAATGATACAGATCACATAGCATATGCTCTGACTTACAAATTTAAAACTACAAAATGGCTAAAAAGTACACATTTTTCCAAATAAGTGTGTTTTTATCCACAGTTAACAATAATAACTACCTGTCTGCCCGTAAAGATCCGGTACAAGACCAAGGAGCCTCTGTGGGAAGACTGTTTCTCATTCCTCGTCCACAATCCCAGGAGGCAGGAGCTCGAGGTGGAGGTAACGCTGCACAATGACACATTTAAAATGTTTCTGCCAACATTTATTTTTCATAAGATCATTCACTGCAATGGTGGAAGTAGCTGACTTGTCTAAAAGCAGATTGTTTGTGGGATTTTCCTTTTTGCACAGATAAAAGATGACAAGCACAAATGCACTCTGGGTAACTTGACGGTGCCTCTGAGTGGCCTGCTGGTGGAGGAGGACATGACGCTGACTCAGTGCTTTCCTCTGAAGAACTCGGGACCCAGCTCCACCATCAAGCTCAAGATGGCCCTCAGGGTAAAAACGGACTGCTTCACATCTCACTGGTTCTGTACGCTTCCGTGATGGTTCTTCGTTTAATGCTGATTAAACCAGAACAGATGTTCAAAATCTGCTGATTCAATTAGAATGGCTCGTGAGAAGGCGAGTAATACAATTTCTGAATTAATGATGTCGCACAGCAAGTTATTGTAGTGTCAATAATGCTAGACATTATGAATTGATTTTACTGTCTCAGTTCAATTCTAATTTGAGCCCTCCATAATAGCTGCTGCACTTTCTAAGCGTTCTGTTTCAGCGTGGCTCATATTCGTCTTCAACACAACACAACACTGGCTCCTCGGCTTCAAACAGAAGTAGAAAGAAGCTTTGTAGCCCACAATTGTGAATTTTTCCAGCTAAAATGACAGCTGTCCCTAATAGAGTTCATCAGCTACAGTTAGTTAACTTGCAATTTGTGCCAATGTTAGCTTCATTAGTTGGTTGAAAGCATCCTCCCTGCTGACTTTCCAATGTTTTGCTTGACTTGTTGTTAAAAGTGGCTTCTAAAGGCGGTTTTAAATAAGCAACCATTACAGTATATAACAGAAGTGATTACAACCCAATGCAATATCGCATAAATGTCAAATGATTCAAAGCTGTCTCGCCTCACAGTAATTGAATAACCTTTTAATTAAACAGTAGAGTGTTTGCTCTTATGTGAAATTAAAAGATAACAGTTTAGTATTAAAGATGCAGGCCCCACAGTTGGAACTCAATGCAGTAAATGTTTATAATGCACCCTAATGATAAAATCAATCCTCCTGAGAATGGGGGATAACAAATTTGTGGAGAGGTGTTCTGCTGGTCTTCAGAGAATTTTTTTCAGCTGTTCCTCGTTGGAGCAGTTGTGCTGCTTTACCGTTGTCTTTAGAAATCCGCAAAAGGTGTATTTAAGTGAGGTGACACACTTGGCCATGTCATAGTTTTCACTTTTTACTTCTTGTCTGGTTGCTTTGGATCCTTAACAAGTTGGAACATTCATCTCCCCACCACCTTTTATACATATACAGGCTCTTATCAACACACTTCTGCCTCCGTGCTTCAATGTCAGGACTGTGCATTCACTGTAATAGTCCTGGTGAGGTTCATGCCCAACATGCTGAACTAAACAAATTGTCTTGATCTGATTTGATTGAAAAAGGCGCTCTCAAAATTCATCAGGTCTCTTATCATGTTTTTGTAGAAAAGTTCATTCTTGCAGTTTCGTGTCAAAGAGCAATCAGATGTTTTGGATGCTGCACATAAAGGACTGTTACACTGTTTGAGCTCTCACAGAAACTCCTAACAGCTCAATTTTGCAAGTAGCGCACACAATGTTATTTTAGGAGAACAGCCACTGTTGCTCTGATTAGTGGTGCAATGGCTTGATCTATACCTCCTTATTACTGCTGTAGATGTGTTTTGACTCATCTTCTTGTATCTGTCTCCATCATTGTGAAGTCACGCAATCGGATTTTTCAATTCCTTTGGCAATTCTTTGCAACGTAGAGCCATGATGCAGATATGCACCCAGACACAGTCCACATGTCCAAAACTGAGAAAATCCTTGTGTTTACAGGTCAGTTTGTAACCGTTTTAATGCAGTTAGACTAATTGGAAATCCCAGTCAGTGATCAGAGGTGTATTCACTTTTCCTTGGGGCCTGTATTTTCAATATAATCTTTCTAAAGCATTTGTTTTTCACTGTTCATAAGAAGAAATAGAGTGGTGATGCGATTTGAAACCATTTGACATTTATGTGACTTTGCTGAGGGGCACGATCACTGTCACGTTAAAGGACTGAGGCTATAGCTACATGCCCCAAGGCAAAAAGTCAGTCAACAGGCAGAGCAGCAGTCGACCTATATTATAATTATAGAAGGAGCAAACAAAACATATCCGACCAAACCAAGCACCCTGTTTGGCCCGTTAGATTGCATGCTTGTTTGTGTTTTTTTGACTTTTAGTGTTACAAGAGAAAGGGCTTTTAGGATGAGGATGTTTTATTAACGTTATCTTGGCTGCGGTCGCTGGAGTGTGAACTCATCCTCATCTAATTAAGAGCAAAACACAACTGCCTGATTGCCCTGAAAGCCTGGTTTTCGCACGGTAGGGAAACAAAACGGTGGCTGCGTTTGTTTTTAATGGGCTGTTTTTAACGTAACAGGTGAACCTACTAATCAGTGTTGGTAAATAATATGTCCCTTCATCTAGCAAATAATGCCGCAGTAGCATAAAAGTAAACCGTTTAGCTCAACATCTTAATTGTAGGTTATGCTGGAAGATGATAAACACACTGGTTTATCTGCTCTGTACATGTATGTGCTTGTTTTGTTTTATAAAAGCTTGAAAAGACCATTCTAACTGTTCACATGTAGTGCTATTAATCTTCCCTCTGTCTGTCATATCACATCGAATGGTAGCTATAAGGCTCTTTCTTTGCTCAGGGTGGACCTATGGGGATGACTACACACAGTGAGCATGGGCGGTCTGTGTACAGTAAAAGTAATGAGTCTGTGGTACCTTATTTTGCAGATATCTAAACATTTTCCTTTTACTTTAATGAACAAAAATGTCTGTTCTGCTTTAGTGAAATGAAACCCCAATCAATAAAATTGGTTTCATTTTCTTTTTTAACACCAGCTAAAATCTTTGTAAGGAGCAGCCAGAAATTCTCCTCTGCAGAAATGAACCCTGGCTATAATTGAAAAGTTGACCTTAGTGGAGGGTTTTAGCAAACATTCGACATCACTGTTGTATGTCTCAGAGTTCAAACCTGAACCAAAGGTTCTCTGCATAATCCTAATGGGAATATTTTTTTTTCAGTTACTGCCTGAAAACACCGGAGACTGTAGCAAGTAAATTGCATTGCCCTTCATGACACCGTAACTAAATGCATTATCTTGTACTGAATCACGACTGATCAAATAAAAAAAAATGAATGCAGCTGTATCTAAATATTGACCTTCTCTGAAATAGCTTTTCTATATTGGAACACAAGCAACATAACAAGATTCATGACAGGCATTCCAAAAGAAAATGACTTTACAGGCTCAGAGACATATTTATAACCACTGTAGAATGAAAAAATAAAGACCATAAATACAGATTTGCCGAAAATACGACCTCAAAAATACATCAGTGGTATTATAACCACTTATTCAGAACAATTAGTCACTTTGGCTTAAACACAAATGATTGTCTTTGTCATTCTGAGGTTATAAACTCATTAAATCAGTGTTAATAAAGTTACAGTCCTTTGACAAGAAACTGTACGAGACACATCCTTTTACGGGATTTTTATTGCAGCACTTAGCTTGACTCATTATAGATCATTCGCAGTAAAGTCGTCCTGTCTCCCTGCAGATCCTGTCCTTGGAGAAGCAGGTTTCCTCGGACCAGCCTTCGTCCGTCCAGGTCAGGAAGTCGAGCGCGCCGCAGCCGGCCGCAGCCCCCTCCCCGAGACCGTCATTCTCAGATTCCCTGCTGTCTCCACCCACACCTCCGCAGCCTATAGACGCTTCCACGCTCACCCTCCAGCACAGGGATGGCGAGCCGTACTCAGCCAGCCCTCGCCGCAGCACCTCCAACCTGAGCACCTGCATGTCCAGCTCCCAGAAACACCTGCCTCACAAGGAGTCCACGCCCAGCCTGGCCTCGGATATCTCGCTGCCCTTTGCCACCTTGGAGCTCCAGCAAAGACTCCGACAGCTGCAGAAGTAAATGACTTTTACGGCTTATTATTGTTTTATCTGTTTTCCGACCACATCGCTCTTAATTTCTTCGTGTCTTTTCCAGCTTCCTCATTTCAGCCATCTTATTGTTTTTCCAGTTTGCCGTATTTAAATTCCGCAGCTGCTCTCCGTTAGAATGTCATCTGGAGTTTGCATATTCATCTTCATAAATATTTTATTGGCCTACCTGTCAAGCGCTCCCGTCTATTCCCGCACACATGTGTACGCGTGCTGTGTAAATTCGGCTGCAGCGTCTGGGAATGACACTGACTGACTTTGGTGTGTTTATAGCGGCTCGGCCCCCAGCCAGTACCCCCTGGGTGAAGTCCAGCTGACCGTTCGACACAGCTCCCAGAGGAACAAACTCATCGTGGTGGTGCACGCCTGCCGGTGAGTTCCACGCTTCCACAATAAACTGCATTTATTTTCGCAGTTAAAGATGGTTTCGAAGTCTGCTTGAAGGACTTCTTTTGCGCACGTTTGCCCTTGCCGGCTTCTTTTTCCCTCTCTCTTTCAATAATTGTGATTTATTGGAACGAATTCCTCAGCATTCAAATCACTTAGCTTCTTCTGTAGCCACTAAATCATGAATAGGCACCATAAAACCAAACAGCATGCGCCTGGCAACGTGTGAGTGAGACGGTTTTGTCCTGTGTGTCCTCAGTAACTTGATAGCCTTCACCAAAGATGGCTCAGATCCCTTCATACGCCTCTATTTGCTGCCTGACAAGAGTCGGACTGGGAGGAGGAAGACGAGCACAATGAAGAGGACCCTTAACCCTGTTTATGATCAAACGTAGGTTAAGGCACAAACACCTGTTTGCAAGTTGTTTTTTTGTCGTTTAAAAGCCATTTATCATTAGTTATTGTTTGTCTTTATATGTGTGCAATCATCAAAACGTTACAGTTTTATAAATGCCTCGTGTTTCAGACTTTAATTTGCAGCCGGCTATAGTTTTATGGCCAGTTTTGCTGTTTTGTGATGTTCAGTGGTATCTTAAGGATTCTTCTTCTGCTCAGCTACAATTCACACATTAGGAGCGATAACACAGAGATCCCAACAAGGGTGCAGTTGCGGAAGAGTTTATTTTTCAGCCGGAAAGTTATATTCTCAGCAGTAATGTTTTCAGGGACCCCTCGTGGCTCGAGTTTATATCAAGTGTATTCAGTGCAGATCCGTCATTCGTGATAGTTTGTTTGTGTTGCTTGACTCTTTTTGTTTGCAGTTGAGTTACAGAGCCCAGGGATGGAACATCAAAGCCGATAGCATCAGTCAGCTCCTGCTAGCGTAGTCCTGATGTCTTGATTAGCAGCCTTCTCCAGCCCCTAGAGGAGGGCTTCTAATTTAGCAGTTCAGAACCTATGTGAGGGCATTTTCAGCAAACTGCTCACAGATGAAGTATAAAGGATGCTGAATATATGAGGAGCATATGTGGAAAGGCTCAATCAAATTAAGAATTTTAATTTGCCTAATTATTCCGTGTTGGATCGCTGTCATAAAATGTGTGTTGCTATTGTGTGTGCGCAGGTTTGAGTTTAGTGTATCTATGGTGGAGCTTCACAGAAGAACTTTGGATGTAGCAGTGAAGAACGGAGGGAGTATTTTGTCCAAACACAAAGGGCTTTTGGGAAAGGTAACCCCTGCAGGTTTTTGTTTCTGGCTCCTATTGTGCAGTTTTTCCAGTGTTTTCGAGCCAATCCTAAATACTCTATAAACTCTAAAAACTTCTCTTTTGTTGTCTAAAATTGCAGGTACTGGTAGATTTAGGTGGGGACGATATATCAAGAGGATGCACACAATGGTAAACTTGCATTCTATCTTTGTCCTGTGCAATATTGACTGATTACATGAGGTAGTCAACTGTGTATTTTGCTTCTCGGATACTTAACTTTCTCATTTTCTCTTGCAGGTATGATCTAAGTGAAGATGGTTTGTCGTCTCAAGGCATAAGAAGAATTCAAGACCCCCTTCTCACGTAGTGAAACCAGCTCCACACCTCTCCGCTGTAATATAGTTGTTAATCTAAGGGCACATCGTTCTGTTTTTCATATAGTTTACAGGAATAATTTCAGCATGTAAGAAGTTTTTCAAGCATTTCCTGTTATTATTTCATGATCAAGATTGGAAGATATTGTAACATATTGTAATGCATTGAGACACACGAACTGCCTTGTCTCTCCTCTTTTCAGTGTTTTATGTAAATATGACGTTGCAAATATATAGTTACAAGAAATTGCAGGGGTTTTCATGGCATTATACTTTCTATTAAAAATCTGTCAAAATTCTTACTACTTTCCGTCCAGGTTGTTAAAATGTGACGAATTCTGTTTTACTGTCTGAGAAAAACTCTTACCAAAGGAACAGATACAATCACGATAGTAGGCTTAAGTAGCAGTCTTGACTTTGTTTTTGTTTTTTTTTCTTTTCGTTTCTTGTTATGCAGTGTTATTTGATTGTTTACCTCCTGTTGTTCTTTATGCTTGATTACGAACATGGAATGCACATATGCAAGGAATAAAATGATTGCTCTGTATATTTTAGGAGATCTGTGCAATATTGTTTGTTCTGAGATAACGCAGACCTGTGGGCATTTTAGGGCTATGAACAAGTGCTGTACAATATGAACACAACAAAGGATACTTGAATAAGGGTTTGATTGTGGTCAAACCAAAACGTGAGTTGAGCAAACTGAAAAGTATGAGCAGAGACAGCAATTATTGCATTTTTAGGAGCAGGGCTGCTAGAATCTGTCGTTGAGATGATGCATCTGTGTCATGCTTGTACATGTTTTGCCATGCAGTTATAACTGTTTGTTGGAGCTTTTAAATACTTGTAATCTATCCTGTGCCTTAAAAACCCAACATGTAATTTTTTTGCCTTCTTAATGTTATTATTTTGAATGACATGATGCCTCATGGCTTTTGATGAATAAATGGTTTCTCTTGTGAAAATCTGCCTGCATGTTTTTTTCCACATATTAGTTGAATACTGAAAGATTTCTTGTTAAAAGTGTGGCATATATTCTCTTGAGCTCTGGGGTTCAATCGATGAGAGACGGTCTATGAATAAAGATCAACAGAATGAGTATCACATGTGCAAGTAAAACAGGGAAAATCGTTGTGTTTGGTAGAGAAACAATACTTTTGCAGTATTTTGTCGCCATCAAGTGGCAGAACGAGGGAACGACAAATGTGCGTCAGCGTCAAAACTTGACGTACGACGTCATGACGCATTTTATACAAATTTGCGCGGGTTCGCTGTTCTTATGGTCGTCTGTCACTTCACCGTGGCTGACTCACAAAACCACCAATAAAAAGGTAACAGACGAAGCAAATGCTTTATATTTTATATTTTCACGATAATAAATCATAATACTGCCATAAGAAACCGTCAGAGCGGGATTAATGATCGCAAATAACACTTTTAACGCTAACGGCAAAAGGACTGCCATGTTTGTTTTGGTCTTGTTGCAGCAACGTTACTCTGCTACATTAGCTTTACACTGTTTTCCATCTTAGGTTCAAGTCGCTTCATATCGTTTGGAAAACCGACATCATGTCCAAGCGAAAGGCGTTTTTAGAAGCCGCCTGTAAAGAAAATGTGGAGGACTTCCTTCGGTTCATTCAGCTTCATGTAAGTAGCTAACTCTATGCACTGTGATGCTAACCAAACTGTTATGACACCAGCAAACCTTCAGAGCCAGCAGGAATCTCCTGATGTGTCTCGGTATGTGTTTAAGCTGAATGTATTATTCTGGGACATATTACTTTAACATTGCAGGGCTGTTGTATTTAATGTAGTAGTCATAATGCAACAACTGAAGTATTAACTAGTACATAAAAATGTTGAGGTCATGTTTCAAACATGGGAAATAAACTTAAGTCTCAAATTCCATTACATCTGCCAGTAGCACAATTGCTCTGTATACTTTTGTATTGTTTAAAATAGTTTAAAAAATGCTAATAAATAATAGGGCAAATGTTATCAGAGGTTAACGTGTATAGGATTAAATTATGCATTCAAAATTTGTCAAGTTATAACAAAACATTTGGTGTTTTACCCATGATGTGTTACTAAACATTTGGCCTGATTTATCTTCTGTCTGTTACCTCACACTGGAAATAAAAATGCCATTTTTAGACTGATTTTCAATTCAATTATATATGTAACTACTAATTATTGATATTTTTAGTTTATGTTTATTTTTCTACTGATATTTCTGAAATTTTTGCACTATGCCATTTTCTGCTTTAACAGTTTATATTTATTAAAGGTTTATTGTATCGTATCGTGATCGTAACATATGTCACCTTAAAGGGAACTTGACATAATGAAGTCCTGTTTAATATGAGTAAAAATGGGTATTGAGAAACAACAAACAGTAAACATTGGGCAGGTTAGTGAGTCCAGCAGCTGCAGATCAGAAACCTGCAGCTCTGAAGCCTGTGCATCGTAGGAGGTCCCTCAGCAGCTTAGGCCTACAATAGCATAACTAAAGAATAGTTCAGGGTCACCTGAGCCAGCCCCAACTTTAAACCTTATCAAAAAGCAAAGTTTTAGACCTGATCTTAAAGGCAGAGACGACGTCTACCTCGTAAACCGAAGCTGAGAGCATTCAACTTTTGTAAACTCTGGTAACCACAAGTAAGGCTGCACTGTGAGAGCAAAGTATTCTATTGAGAAAATATTGTACTCTGAGTTCCTAAAGATCTGATGGATCTTAGTGATTAAGGGCTTTGTGTCTAAGGAGAAAGTTTATAAAGTTTATTCTTGATTTAACAGAGAGCCAGTGAAGCGAATATGGAAGGCACATGATGTTCTTTTCTTGTTCCTGTTGGTACTATCAGTGCTGCATTTTGGATCAACTGGAGGCTTTGCACAGAGTTATTATCAGGACATCCTGATATTAAGAAATCACGTTGATGAAGCCTATGTGTAGCAAATTCATGGACTATTTTTTTTAGCGTCACTTTGAACCATATTGTGAAGGTGAAAGAAGGCCATCTTGGAGACTTGTTTTATGTCTGTATCAAAGGAAATAGCCTTGTCAAAAATAACTAACTTTCCTCCCAGTAGTGGTGGAAGCCAAAGCAATACCATCCAGAGAAACTATATGGTTAGATAGTGTATTTCTGTGGTGTCAAATACAGTGACTTCTGTTTTATCTCAAGCTGTGTGCTCCTGTTTGTATTGCTGAGCAGAAAGACAAAACTGAGCCCTTCGATGTGGAGGAGGTGGTGCAGGAGATGCCCAGAGACCAGAGACAGGCTCTGTGGGGGAGGCTGGCGTCGCTCCTTCAGGACATCCTGCTGGAGTTACCACCAGAGCGTTGGGACAAGGGCAGGGACGAGGGCATGCAGGAGGAGTCAGCAGCAGACCCTGTGAGTTTACCTCTCAGTTCATGTACAATTATAGCATAAACTTCAAGACAATACTCCGACCCTAGGTTTCTTAATTGCCATGTTTATTTCTGGAATGTATAGACTAGGTGTATGAATGAAGCACTTACATTTTTTTTGGATGTCCTGTTGTATTTAGATTGTTTGGTAATATAGATGCCACAAGATTTAATCACATAAACTATGCATGAATCACAAATCATATGGTTCTCCTTTACCTGCATTAACCTTTCCTTTCAGAAACACGTCATGGCTGTTGTGGATGGTGTGACACTAGTGTCCACAGTGTCTCTAAAGGCTCTAGAAGATGGTGACACATACAGCGCCCTTCTGGAAGTTGCTCACAGGCTTAATTGTGAGTGGTTTTTTTGTTTTCAGTTTTTTTGCATCAATTTGAAAAATGTATTATTGAGACACACTTACTTACATACATAACAGTTGCACAAAGAAAGTTTTTCTTAATAAAGAAACCTCCTTTCAAACCAGAAAAAACACATTTATACCATCCTGATCAAATTTTAAGGTCCCTAATATAAAGTAAGAAACAGAATTACTCAGAAGTACACCGTCAGCTTGTGCCATGAAAAAAGTAAACACAGAAGGACCTGCAGCTCATAAAAGTAGTCAGTTCATCTGTCAGTCTTTCAAAAGAAAATATAAATTTTGAAACATTAATTCATGCCATGCCTCAGGATAAAACAAAACAAGGCCAAGTGTTTCAAGTGCTGCCCTTCCGACTCCTTTAATCATAACTTTAATATCTCCAAATCCTTGATTGTATGTCTTGCTAAACAGGCAACTCAATTATTTTTCAAGTGAGTTTAGCTGCTTCTCTATAATGAGCCTGATTTGTTTCTGTCCGTTAGACATTCTGGAGTCTGTTCCTGTATCAGAGGCGCCTCTGCTGCTCCACATCCAGACGCTGTTTGAGGCCTGGTGGAAGAAGGGGCTGCAGGAGAAAGAGAAGTTTGGTCGCACTGCTTTCTTCGTCTCTCTGCAGAAGAGCTTCACTTTGAAGAAAACCGTCAGTATATCTCCTCAGATACATGCCAGCTCAGTCAGTGTTCAGTTTTCATTTGGAGGGTTTTTTTTTTTTTCGCAGAGTGAATAAAGCAGACACGACCAGTGTGTCTCAAAACTGTCTGCTGATGAGTGATAACCTTTCGAAAACACAAGATTAGAGACCTGATTTGATTTATCAGCACTACTTCCTTCCCGTGTCTCTTGTCAGGGTGCTGAGATCCAAAGAGTGTGGAGTCTCCATGATGTGCTTTTGAGTCTGGACTACACTTCAGAAGACAACAAGCAGATAATCAACTTGTTGCTCCAGTGCTTTCAGTGTCCTACTTATATTAGAAATGATGATGTGAGTAGAGTGATGCTTAGCTGCTGTGTGTGTGTGTGTGTGTGTGTGTTTCTGTGATTCACTTTTCTAATTATTACTGTGGCTTTGTCCTTGAGCTGTCAGCCTAATGATGTGTATGTTGTCACAGGGAAAGCGATTCCTGGTGTTTCTTTTCAGCTGGAACATTGACTTCATCTGGGTTATTCATGGCACCATCAAAAATCAGCTGCAGTTTTACAGCAAGTAAGAAGCCTACTTTGCTCTAATTGACACTGCTCAGTTTTCTTTTCCTGTTGTTCACCGTTAATCTCTTTGTTCAGGACCATGACTGCTCATATTGCGGAGATCTACTTCAGAGCATGGAAGAAGGCTAGTGGAGAGTTCCTGGAGAAGATCGAGAGCTCATGCATTCAGGATTTTATGCAGAACGCAATCTTCCTTCGCAGAGCATCTCCTGTCCATGCCAAAGTCCGACAGGTAGACTGTTAGGTATATTTTGGGGGTGTCCTTATATACATATTGTGCTGTGTGTGTGTTTATTCTCTGATCTTCTTGCTCTCTTTCAGATCATGAGTTATTTCAACACGAGGGTGGGCTGTCACAGTGTGGACAAGATGCTCTGTAGTCTCTACCGGCCCATTCTTTGGAAAGCTCTCAGTGTACGCATACATAGCTACAGCATTCATTCTGGTATTTCAGTGCTTGATTCTACTGTCTAATGTGTTTCTGCTTGATTTCTGTAGGCTCCAAACTTTGAAGTGCGTGCAAATGCCACGTTGCTTTTCACTGAGGCCTTCCCAGTCCATGACCCGGATCAAAGCAACGAGAATATAGATGAGAACATTCAAAAGCAGCTGGACACAGCAATGGTAAGAACCTTTCAAACCGTTTAACTCCTCTTTGTTGTGAGGAAACTGAATGTATATGGTTTGGTAAATTTTAAATTAAACACACTAAGCCGAAAAATCGATTGTGAGCTGCAGTCACTCGCAACAATCCAAAACACAAACCTCAGTGCCAAAATTACAGCCTCCTCTCTGTCATCCTCAGGGCCTCCTTGATGATCCCCACCCCACTGTGCGCTGCAATGCCATCCTGGGCGTCTGTAAGATCCTGGCTAAGTGCTGGGAGCTCCTCCCTCCTACAATCATCACAGACTTCCTGAAGAAGCTGGTGATGGAGCTGGCGGCTGACAGCAGCTCCGCTG